AATTATGTAATTAGTGTGGGTTTCCTCTGAAGAACTTGTCAGATGCTTATGGAAAAATATTAAGGAATGCTGAGATCGCGGCCACATACCCAGGCTGCCCCCTGCAGGGAGTTTGATATAAATCCAACCACAGGAAATGGGACGGATTCTGCCAGCCCTCCTTCCCTGCAGGAATGCCCAATGCTCCTGTGTGGGAGGATGCCGGGCTTCCAGCTCCTGATTTCCACAGAGTCTGCTAAGGAGCAACATTTTGTGTGCATGTTTTAAAAAATTAAATAGTGCTGTTATTTTGTCAGAAGGACAAATTTCTTCGGCCAGATGGACAATTTGTCCTGACCCAGGTGGGAAAGACCCTGTGTGTTAGGAAGGCAGTCACAGTTCTTGTGTGACAAGGAATTCTTTATCCACAGGGGGCTTTGGAAAACCAGAAGGCTCTTGGTCTGGGCCCTACAAGTGCTTTTCAATGGCTGACTGGGGCAGGCGTTTACGCCTTCATACCTGTTCCCTAGTGATTTCCATGTCCCGTTGCAGGCTCTGATGGGGACAGATGCCTGCACCGTTTAATCTCTGGTCACTCAGCCACACACGGACAGCAAATGAACACATTTGCCATTCCACCAACAATATGAATTCACTCTGGGAGCCAGTGTATTTTTCATGACTCCTTTGGTGGCAAGCGACAGAATCACAACGCCAACCAGCTTTAACCCAAAAGCTCAAAGGGTAACTGGGTGGTTGAAGGGGTGAAGCTGGCTTTAAAGCAACCGTGGATGCAGGAATGCAAACACAGCTGTTGCTACTTTCTCTCCATCTCCCGATTCCACCTTCCTCTGTTTGGTCTTCATCTTTAGGTGGTTTCTGCCAATTGGTGTCAAAGAAGGCCACACAGCTCCTGGCTTGAATGCCCTTATACCTACCTGAAGATTCCAGGTGAGAAAGGCATGCCTCTCCCCCTGCAGTTCCAGAAATGGTCGAGAGGGGGCGCTCATAGTCTGGCTAAACCTCATATCTGAGAACGAGGGCGTTTCTGAGCAGTCAAACGCACACCTTCCCTGCAGCCCGTACTGCACCTAAAACTACATCATTCTATCAAATAAGAGATGCTAGTTCTATTTTGCAAGTCCAGTTTCATCCGGTGTATTAGTTTTCTAAACTAAAGAATGCCACAGACCACGTGGCTGAAACAACATAAATTTATTTTTTCATAGTTCTGGGGGCTGGAGGCCCAAGGTCACCGTGCAGCGGCGCTGGTTTCCTCTCTGCCCCGCTTGTGGATGGCCACCTCTTGCTGCCTCTTCACATGGTCGTCCCTCTGTGCACGTGCCCCGGTGTCTCTGTGTGTCCAAGTCTCCTCTTGTAAGGACACCGGTCAGATTGGACTATGGGCCACCCTAACGGCTTCGTTTTGTCTTAATCACCTCTTTAAAAGCCCTATTTCCAAATGGAGTCACATTCAGAGGTACTAGGTTGTTAGGGCATCAAAATGTGAAATGGGGCACACCTTCCAGCCACCGAATGTTGAGGCTGAGATTTGCTCTCTAGGAGGCTGAGTCTGGCAGTGCGCCCTTACCCATGACGCTAATGTCCTGGCCGTAGCTCATGGCAGCATCCACGGAGGCAAAGGCTTTACAACTAGAGCAGCAGGGAAAGTAAGAAACTATATCCAGTGAGGACCTTAGCAAGGTCTAGCGACATCTGTCTGTTTGTCCCCTCCCCCGCCCAGGAACCGATCACTGGTAGAGGAGACCCTGGGCTGTCTGTGCGGGCCGTGGTCCGCTAAACCCTGCCTGATTGTCAAAGAATCTCCTGTTTTCTTCCGTCTGCAGCATCTTCATGTTGCTTCCCTTTGGCTTCCCCAAAACCAGTCATCACGAGGACACTGAGGAAATACGAGTCACCTTCTCTCCTCCCGCTTGCATCAAACAGAACAGTGTTCCCAAAGTGTGGCATTCAGACAATTGGTGAAAATGTGAGACAAGTTTAGATGTTACACAGACAAACATCTTTGAAGAGTTGTGAATTTATCTGAATTTGGATTCAAAACATATAAGCCATACTTCCATGGATATTAAGATAGAAGCATCAGTTATGAGTCAGTGGACAGAATAACATGATGGAAATGCATTCAGTAAATAAATCACTTGACCACAAGCTGCAGGTGGCGTTTGGGTGGCTGAACTCGGAGGAACACTGGGAAAGTTCTCCACCCAGAAGGAAACACTTCTGGTCATGGCCATAAATGTCATTTTTTAACCTGATTTATCCACATACTTGGCCCTAATTTGCGCTGAGGACTATTCACGGGCGGTTAGTCCTGGCTTTGGTTTCCCTTGTCTGTGTCTCTGTGCCAGTCACATTGGAGCAGGCCAGGGCACATGTCATCCGCACAGCCTGTGTATTTCACTGATCTCGAGTCTCACTCCGGGGTGAAGACTTTTAGCAACTCCAAGTCTGATGTGGAACGATACATTTAAAACTCAATTTCACACGGGGCATTAATGGAGTTGGCATAATTCTGTGATATTAATTGCTATTAATTTTAGCAGGGCTTTTTCCCCCATGAATTTTGCTAACGGTGCTGAGTAACAGCCCTTCTCCTCCACATTTGGCTCTGTTCAGAGGCCAACTGTAGCTGCTGACACCTTCCACAGCCTGTGCCCGTGTTTCTGCGCCGGGTGCCTGGCGAGGACGGGGGCTCCAGGCACAGAAGAGCTGGCTTCTGGTTCTGATGTGCCCAAATGCTCAGTTGGCCTGTTTCATGGCTGCAAAGTGTGGCCACTGTATTGGCTTTAAGCTCTAATCTTCTGTGATTTCTGTGGCCCCCAAAGCTGCGTTCTGCTTTATGAATGAAAGGTTGCCCTCCAGTGTCCAAAGCGTTATGTGCGTGGGGAAGGAGCCCCTTCCAAACTTCAGACAGTGTGAACAAAATATTGTCTTGTCCGTGCATGAAAGGAAGACGGTTCAGAGCAGCGTTTCTCAAACTTCACTATGTGTGTGAATCACCTGGGGATCTTATTAATGTATAGATGCTGATGGAAGGTCAGGGTGGGGCCTGCCGTTCTGCATTTCGCACAAGTTCCTGGATGATGCCGATGCTCCTGGCTGGGAACAACACTGCGAGTGACAAGGCTTGGAGCAATTCTCCCTACATCCAGCATGTCAACAACCACAGAGCAAGCCAGGCAGTCTCCACAAAGCCTGAGTGGATGAGAGCTGTCCTTCTAGACCCTCTGCGTGTTCCAGCCCTTGCTTGTCCTCCACTTCTTCTAGTCTCATTCTCCCCTTCCCTCGCTCCCCTCCCTCCTCACTGATATTCTTTGTTCCTCAAGTAAGCCAAGCTCTTGCCCACCCCAGGGCCTTTGCATACACTGTTCCCTGTGCCTACAATGCTTCCATCCCCACCTTTCCCTGGGTACTTGGTTTTCATCCTTCAGGAGGCATAGGAAGTAAGTTCCTTTTTCACTATTTATCATCTTTGTGTGTCATCTCTTTTTCTGTTGACTTGTTTATAATTTGCTTCTCCTCTAGACCAGAGTACACCAGGAGACCTCACACTTGCCTTCCACACCCTCGTATCCTCAGTGACCCTGACTGGCAGCCGATGCAATAAGTGAATACGTGTCGGGTGCACGTGTAGGCAGGAAACCAAGGCACATTCTTCAGTATCATTTTGTGCATTTGAGCCTCCCATCTGCAGAGGCTGCGAGGAGGGATGACAGAATTGGTTCTTGTTGCAGACTTACAGAATGAGAGGTCAGGGAAGGAGCTACTTTTAATTTTAAGCCACATCTCATCTTCAGAGATGCCAAAATGTGAAAAAAGTGTACATCTTAGAATAGATGCAATATAGTAAGTCCAGCATTTCTTAAACAGAGTTTATGTCAAATTATAATAGCTTATGAAATATTGCATTAAACGAAGGTATGGCAGGACTTCCCAGGACTTTTGGCAATATGCATTACGAGTCTACAAGGGACAGGATGCCATGGGTTCTTTCATGGCACAGTGGTTGTGGCAGAGACACGGGCTCACTCTCCTAGACGCCACTGCTCTTCTGCCTGGCTCTCTTCTTCCTTGTTGGCAGGGGGCCTGCCTCCTCCTGTCCAGGCTGAACACGCCAAATGCTCAATTTCCCAGCTTTCATTGCAGCAAGGACGTGGATACATTCCCTAGTCCTGGCCAGTGTGGGATCTGAGTAGAAGTCTACAGAGGACTTCTGGAAAAGTTGTCCTGACTACAATAGACATGCAAAGGGAACTTTCTTTCCTCTTTTCTGATGTGCTTGTGTAAGGACATGATGCCTGGAGCTGCAGCAGCCTCTTGTAAACATGAGGGAACACGTTGGCTAAGGACAAAAGCCAGCATAGTGAGGATGGTGGAGTGCAGAGATGCCAAGAACCTGAGCTGCTGGATGTACCAACTCTGCACCTTGGACTTCTGGTTGTGCAAGACAGCACGCGTTCTCATTGCTTAGCCACCAGGCGCTCTGTACTTGCAGCTGAAAGGAGCCTGCCTGATAAGAGTGATAAACTGGTCTCTCCCAGTCAGACAGGCTGGAATTGACTCCTGGCTCTACCAGGGTTAATTATGTGTCTTCTCGAAGGCTGTTTACCATCTGTGAAATGCAGATATTAACAATGGCTCCCTCCTGGGTAATTACAGAAGCTTAACTGAGATGATGGGTGTCAAGTCCTCACGTAGAATTTGGCACATTGTTGGTGCTTAATAATGAGGAACTATTATTATTACTATTATTTTTGATCTCGGAAATTTATTTTTTGTTGGAACATCCTCTACCATCTTGAGGGACCCTGCATTATGCAGAAAACAATCTGAGTGACGTTTACTGTGTTGAACTTTCTCATTTGACACCAGGAGAAGCTGGGGCCAAAGGAGTGGCTGCTCTCTCAGTGCGTTCATTTTGAAAAACGTGCAAGCTTCAGCCTCTTCCCACGTCGGTCATTCCGCTCACGCTAGAAGCAACAGAAGGACACAGGTTTGGGTTGAAATGATGTGCTTTTATGGGAAACAAAAATATCCAACAACAATAACAAAAGCCCTCCAATCTCGCCAAGTTCTCAATTAGTGATAATGAGGCAGTTTCAAGGATTGTGTCTGGCTGGGGACATTTATAAAGGGTCAGGGAAAGTCGGAAGACATTGGCCAAAAAGAGAAAGTGCAGGGAGGGCTGACATTGTAAATGAGAGCACATCAGACTTCCCTTCCGGCCCCTCACCTACCACCTTTAAACTTAGAGTCTCCCACAGTTTACAAAGATCCTTCCTGAATTTTGCTCAGATGCAATCTCTTCCAGAAAGCTTTCCTCGGTCTGCTCCGACTGCACACGCCTTTTCCTTAACGTCACACACACTTCCTCGTGCCTTCTCCGATCACTTTCTGCCTTACGTCCACTATGCTTGGGTACATGCCTCATGACACCCACTATTAGTGGGCATGTCCCCAAGACCAGAGCCCCTGTGGATTCATCCCAGTGCTCCCCTCCCCCTCCCCCATCCAGTGCTCAGTATTCAGCAGGTGCTCAGTATTCAGCAGGTGCTCAGTATTCAGCAGGTGCTCAGTGAGGGTTTGTGGAATTTAAGTCAGTTCTACATTTGCCACGTCACGTCACCGGCCTCTTGAGAATCATAATTGTCATTTCCACTTCTTCATCCCTCCTCCATGGCCTCAAAGTGGTTCGACTCAGGGCATCTCCAAGAAGGAACCAGCCCCCACCAAACACCAACTCAGAGTTGAAAGTTTGGAGAGGGGAAGAGAGAAGGTCAAGCTTTCACCCCTGTTGCAGAAGGCAAGGAGGCAGGAGAGGCAGCCACTGGGAAATCCAGGATGACCTTGAGCGGTGTTGGCCAACACTTCCTTTTGGAATCTCAGAATCTCAGCCACTCTTCCAGAAGTTTCCCCCATGAAACATGGCCACATTTGCAGCAGGAGCTCAGGATTGGTGGGGGTCCAGAACGGTTGCCCTGCCAGCCCAAGGACCAGAGATGTAGACCAAGAACATTTCCTTGGGACATGGCCTACCTTACCTCTAGAGGGGTGGGTAGAGCCGTCTGTCTAGTTGTTCGGTTGGAGCTGCAGTGGGGGAGCCCTGTGGAGCGTTGAGTTGTCAGGCACATAGATTGTAATAAGGCTGAAGAATACAGGCTGCAGTAATGGGCCTCTCCTTGCAAGGGGGCAGGGTCAGGAGGTGCTGGGAGCAGTGAGGGAGAGAGGAGCGTCCCAGAGGTCCTGCAGCTGTGATTCTAACAGGGCCCTGCTCTGCCTCCCGCTCCCTTCCTCTGGCTCCCCAGATGCAGGCAAGCAAAGGGGCCAATTGGGAGTGGTGGAGGGAAGAGAAGCGCCTTTTTTCTTTTCCTAACGGTAAGTCCTAGGTTTGGATAAGGGAGAGGTTACAAAGCAGGGCAGAGGAGGAGGGTGGAAGAGCTGAGGAGAGGCCTAGGCCCTATCCACATCTGTTTACTGGTGTAATGAGTGGGTTTGAGGCTCCTACTTCTAACTGCATCGTCCCCAGAGAGCACTGAGCTCCTAACTGGGGGTGTTGAGAAAGTTCTTTACGGGCTCTCAAAGGCGCTCAGTGATTTTGGAAGATCGCCACGGATCTTCCCATGGGAGGGCCCCTCTGGGGCCAATAAGGTGTGACAGCCACATGGTCACCGTGAGCCCTGGTGACTTGGTAAAAGGGCCCAGAAGCAGAGAGAAGAGAGATTCTTCAGGCACCTTCTTTAGGAAAGAGAGTTGGACCTTGGGGGACTCAACTAGGACAGGTGTTTCAGTATAAAAAGGGTCCCCCGTAAAAGGATGGAGTCCCCTCAAATCCCTTCCCAGATCCCACAGCACTTAGAAAAGAGAAAGTAAGGAGCATAAAAATATCTCGATGACGTGGGCTTGCCCGACGGTGCAGAAAAGCGAGTCTCACGGCAGGCGGTGTGGCCCATTACACAAGAGAGGGTTACACCGAGCTTCAGTATAGACGCTTTACATATATCTTTATATAAATGCATATATATTTATAGAGCCTCTGCCTAGAACAGCCGGGCTTGCTTCTTCAGTTCATTCCTCTTCCAGAGGGCCAGCCGGTCGAACTCGGAGATGGTCATGCCGAAGACTTGGTAGAACTCTTCCTGGGACAGGTGGCGCTGAGGAGATGAGGGGGACAGAGAGAGAACAGCGTGAGGGTGTGAGGGGTAGACTGTGGGTGGGAGCAGGCACTGCATGTTCCCTCTGGGTGCCCTGTGCCTGGCACAGTGTCCGACCCAGGCAGGTGTGCAATGAATGTTTGTTGAATGGCTGAATGTTTCCCTGGAGGGGCCCCTGGAGCTGATCTGGCTGGAGAGGCCTCCCTTGCCCATGGCTCAGGTGGGACTTGCGCTCCACCTAAACCCCCCTCGGTGCACCCTGGCTGACCTTACCTTTCTGCACACCTGCTCCATGCGTTTGTGTCCGGAAGTGTGTATGGATTAATGCTATTTCAGTCCTCTTTGGGAGAGAAGGGAGGCATATCTGAGATTTTAAGGTTTATTTCCTCTTATTAATATTTTTACAAATGATCATGAAGGCTGTTCATCAGGCCAGCCAGTGACAAAAAATTACTGGACATTATTTCTCGACCCACTGAAATGTCCTTTTACCTCTTTCTTCTATAAAAACAAGAATGCCATCTGATCCAACACTGCTCTGCATTCCAAAGCAGGGCTCTCCCCCTTTCTGCCCTCCTTCCTTTTCTCCCTTCTAAGCAGCCTTAAAAGGGTGATACACTGTCAAAAGGTTTTAGAGTTGGAAATATATGGCACTTAAATGGTGGCAAGATGATAACAATTAGTTGCATGTAGTGAAGGGTGGTTGGATGTTCATTTTACAGTTCTTGCAACTTTTCTGGAGGGCTGAAAGTTTTCAAAATGAAATTGAAAATTAAGTTTAAAAAGAGAACTATATGGCATATAGCCAACCTGCAAACTACTGGATTCATGGAGCTGACCTGTTGGTAGCAATTATATCAGCTAATTGAGTGTTGGAGGAAATTCGATGAGGATTATGTACACAGCTGCACGGTAATTAGCCAGTTCTCTGGCCTGTTGCCACTGCGAACTCATATTTTAGCTACACATTCAGAAATGTAAAGAAAAGGTAACTCCGATAATTTTTTGTTAGATATCATTGGCTGCTGGTGACTTTGAGTTGATTTTTCCATACTTAACGGTATCGAATAACACTAAAAATTCCTTGTGTTGTATTATGCTCAATAGTTCAAAACTGCTGTTTCACCCTCATTTTTCTCATTTCATCTTTCTGACCACTCTGAAAACCAGGAGTTATTTTTTATCCGATTGAGAGAGAAGGAAACCCAAACTCAGAGAATTAAAATGACGAACTTGCCCAAGAGGGAGAGTGGGAGGGAAGGAGGGAAAGAGGAAGGAAGGAGGCAGGAGCAGCAGAGCTGAGACCAAAATGTGGGTCTTCTGACCCCAGTGTCTATATTCCCACCACCCCTCTTGGTCAACCCCATTGAAAAAATTCATCAATGAGTCTATTAGGAGATACTTAAAAAATGCACAAAAGAGAGAAAATAGTACAGTGCACATTACCCATAATAGTACAGTCCATTACCCATAATTATCAAGAGTTTGCCACATTTGCTTCATTTATTTTCTTTGCTGAAATATGTTACAGCAAAGCCTAGACATTGTGTCAATTCATTCCTGCTTACTCAGTGCGTATCCCAAAACATACTGGGTATTTTCTCACTAACCACAAGGCCCAAGCAAGCCTAAGGAAAATTAGCAATAACTGCTCAGAATTCCCTACTACCTCTCCATTGTAAAATTCCTGTCTTGAAGATGTCCTTTTACAGACGGTTTGTCTGAAAAAGGATCTAAGCAGCACCCACAATCACATTTGGTTGTTAGGCCCCCTATGTGACCTTCTTCTTTTCTTAGGCTGTTAACTTGTTCATATTCGTTTTACCCAAGTGGGTGTTGAAAATCACTTGCCTAGGAGGGAGTTCTCTGCTCCTTCCACGGTAACGACCCGGGGAAGATGCGCTGTAGAATCACCTGTCCTCTCTGTGTTGGAGGCAGCAGCTACTATCGATTCTCTAGTTGGGTTTCTCTGCTGTGTTCAAAAATGTTTGTTATGAGGCTTGATCTAAAGGAGTAGTAGTCTCAACCTCAAATCGAGTGTCCACAAGTGGACTCAAAGGAGACCAAGGCCTCTCTCCTCTCCTCCTCTATAGACTGGCTGGAGCCTCCTCTCTTTCTGGGGTTCTCAGGGCCCCTGATGCCAGTCCTGTGCATTGGTCATTTGTGACAGAAAGATGTTTAAGCAGGAAGGTTTTAGAGCCAGGGAGACATGACTGTGTGACGTTGGACAAGTTACTTAATCCCTCCTGAGCCTCAACTTCCTCTTCTGGAAAATGGGAGCATCCTGACCCCTGCATCACAGATACAGCGAGGGCGGATGAGAGAACTTGGGTCACGCGCTCAGCATGGGGCCGGCACGCAGAAGTGCTCGCGCGCCTGGCACTTGCACTATCGCAGTGATCTTTGCACGTGCCCATCGCATACCATGATCTGGTGCCCCTCTCCTTTGCCTTCATCATCTCCTCTTCATCTTTGCTGCATTCATGTGACCCTAGCCACACTCACCTCCTGCTGTCCCCAAACACACCAGGCCCACTCCTGGGTTAGGGCCCCGGCACTGGCTGTTCCCTCTGCCCAGAATGTTCTTCTTTCTCATAAAATAACTCCCTCACCTACTTCTAGCTTTTGCTGAAATGTCACATATTCAACGAGACCGACTCTGATCCCCCCTATTTCAAACTGCACCTCGCCCCGCGCTCTAGCTCCCAATCCCCCTTACTCGGCTCTCCTTTTACTATTTCCCTTAGCCCGATTGCCTTCTAACACACAGCATCATTTATTTTCATTTGTGTCATTTAAGGGTCTGGCTCCTCACGCAAGAATGCGAGTTGCGAGAGGGCAGGGGTCTGTGTTTTGTTCACTGACATGCTGCAGGCACCTAGAACAGTACCTGACATACGGAATACACTGTCAATAAATATTTGTTGGATGAATGGCTGTCTATACTCCGAACTCCTTGAGCCCAGGGTCAGAATCTTCCTTCTTCAGCTCCTTCCCTGACCCAGTGCAGGGGCCTAGGGCAGTGTCTTCTAGCCCAGTGGTCTCCGCTCAGGCTACATTTTAGACATTCCTGGGAGCTTTTAAAAAATACTGATGCTGGAGCCCCTTCCTCGGATGGTGATTTAATTGGTCTAGGGCGGGGCCCCTGTGTGAGGTTTTTAAAAGCTCCCTGGGTGATTCTGATGTTAGGGAGAGTGTTTCCAGCCCTTAAAGCTGGCTCTGCTGAGCTGCGCTGGGAGCTGTCCCCTTCAGCACCGGCAGACACTCTCACTTTGAGAAAGGGAAAGGAGGAGGCCCTTGTTATGAATGTGGGGAGAACCGTCCCCTTCCGGAGCCTGCTACCCCAGCACGTGAGAGCTGGAAGGACGCGCAGAGCTTCCTGGCCCACTTGCATTCCGCACCTTCTGCCCCAACCCTCTATCCCGGGACAAGTTCTTCACCAGCAGGTCAAGGGTGGCTCATGTGCTCTTCCCAAGGAGTGCTGAGCCTCCTCTTTTAGAAGCCTGCATCCAATGCCACAAACACCTCCTGACACCTCTCCCAGCCCAGGCCCCGTGGAAGAGGACAGACAATCTTCCCCCCTAAGGAGCTCGGGCTCTGGCAGAGGAAGTGGATATGTGAATGATCTGACACAGAGGAATACCAGAGGTGCCTGGCCACACTCTGGACACAGGCTGAAGGAGGCGGAGGAAGAGGTGAGTGATTCATCCTCGGGGAGGGCTGGAGGAGGCTCCGGGGTGCAGGGATCACTAGCGCGGGCCCCTGGGGAGCAAGCAGGCTGGCGAGATGGGAAGGGCATTCTAAGGAGAGGCACCGGGCTGTAAAGGGTAGAGCGTGCCCTGGATCAGAGGGGATCAGGGACTGGAACTCCACGCCACGTGGATGGGACAGCTCGAATGCCCAATGCCATCCTCAGGCCCACCTCTGCGTCTTTATTCATACTGTCCCCACCACTCATGATGCACCTTTTTCTGTCCCCACCCATCCAGACCCCACCCGCCTTCAAAGTCCATCCACATCCTTCCTCTTCCTGCAAGCCTGTGTCACCTACCCCAGGCCTTAGTGGCCTTCCCTGACATTCACTGGGTACTTCATACTGAGCGCACTGCCAGACTCCACGCTAAGGGCCCCATGAGTGTTGGCTCACTTGCTTCTCCTAGCAACCTGAGAGAAGCACTCCAATCACCCCCACTTTACAGAGGAGAAAACCAAGGCTCAGTGAGGCTGTCCCTTGGTTAAAGCTGCCCACCTCGGGATGGCAGAATCAGAGTTTGAACCTACACTGATTTATGCTTTCACCTTCTACACAGCACTGCTCTCCTCACCTCCCCCACCACAAGCACTAGTTTTACTGACAGTCCTGAGACTGAGGGCCCCTTGAGTGCAGGGACTGAATCTAGGACTTCTCATAGGTCTGCAGGGGCATCGGCCCCAGGTGAGGACACGCTGTCGCTGTGCACACAGATGCTAACTGAATTGAAGAGGAGGCAGCACAGAATAGCACAGAGCAGTTTTGGTTCAAGTCTCTGCTTTTTCAACAAGCTGCATGACCTTAACGCCATTCATTCTGCCCACCCCTCCCGAACTGGGTTAGACAAGGCAGCCTCTGGAATCTCTCCAAACCCAAAGGCTCCTGCTCAGTTTTCTAGACTTACCTCCAAACGGGTCCGGTCTACGTCCTTGGGCAGCCGGTTTCTTCCCCTTGTGGTCACTAGCAGCAGCTCATAAGGGTAGATCTGAGGAGAAAGGAAGGGGATGTTTCTAGCATGGCAGGGAGGGCTCGTGCCTTTCAGTTCTATTTCGTGTCTGGGCTCCCTCTCCTGTCCAGAAAGGGCCAGAGATTGAATCTGGGGGAAGGGCTGAGACTGCCCCCTGGGGGTTGCCCAGTATCCTTAAGGCACCCTCTTCTAAAAGGCAAGGACAGAGTCCCCTAATATGGCTAGGAATAAGGTTGGTGGCATTTGGCATTAATATGGGACAAAACCTCCTGAATGTAAGTGTCTAATATTTGGTGACTGGCAAGCCACCAGAGAGTCTTTGAGGCCAGGGAAACGGTCTGATTCTAGTAGGCAAGAGACCTAGGGCAGGATTCAGGGAAAGTGGACCAGGGAGAGACAGGAAATGTTAGTCTTGGAAGGACACTTGGGGTTATTTATTTATGTTCCCTTCCCTGTATAGACAGTGCTGTCATCCTCCTGATGCTCCCCAATGTTGTGGCTCCCTGAATCCTGGAGACCCTCAGGGTCTGTGCATGTCCTTTACCTTGTACTCTGCAGAGACAAAAGAGACACATAGAATGGAACCCATCAGTCTTTGCGTTGCATCACTCCCTGGCCTGTCTCAGTTTTCCAGGAGTTCTGGCCTCCACCACGTCCTCCTCTTGACCACGCAGAGGCCCCATCCTGGCTGAATTCACCCTGGAGCATAGTCTAGGCTGGTATGAGCACAGTGGCTGGCTGGAGGTAGGGGTTGGGCTGATCTTGAGATGGTTTTAGGGGAAAAATGGCTTTTGAGATATTTAGAATAGAAATAAGAAGAATCTGAGATTGTGAAGCACATGGATGAGAGCTCCCATCTTCTGGGGGACCCTCCAAGGTTTTGATGTGGGACCCCTCCTGCCACAGCCTGCTCGTAGGAGCTGGTGGAGGCTGGCACGAGAGCATCACTGGACAGAACGTGAAGCTCATGGATGTTTTTCTGGGAACGGTGTGCATTTGGCTCTGAGTGTTCCCCATCACTGGGGCTGGCAGGAAACTCTAGCTCTGCAGTCCAGGGAGAATGGCACTCTGCGATGGCTCTGGGAACCCAGATGGGACAGGTGGCCTGGAGATCATCCCAGGCTGGGACTTGAGAGGATGAGGGACAAGCAGGGGAAAAGGGAAGGAGTGGGAAGTGAACGGGAGCTGGAACTCGGGGTTTGGGCATAGCCCAGTGTGGGGACAGAATGTGCAGCAACGTTAGCCGAAGGTCAAGCAGTTCTGAGTGGTACATCCTGGGAAGTCCTGGGAAAAGCCCTCTCCCTGCAGACGGCTGCTGGGCCAGCACTCACCTCGCATGCCCCAGTTGACTGCGTTCATGCTGTCGTAGTGGAAGAGGTCCGCGCTGGGCGTCTGCAGGGGAAACAGAGCCAGGACTGGCCTGAGATGAGCTCGTCTCTGCCTCCCTGAAGTACTACCATCTCCAGAAGATGGCCAAGGCTGCTTGGACCCAGGCCCTCTCAGCAGCCTCCTTAAGTTAGGGAAGCTTAACTCACGGCTGTGTGCTTGTGCCGAGTCCTGGCACATAGTAAGCACTCAAGTTACATCTATTAATTTGGTGAATTTCACCTCATGCTTTCTTTCATTGCTCAAATACCCCTTTTCCTATGAAATCTTCCCTGACAAACCTACTGGAAATTGCAGGTGGCCCCTTCCACAAACTCTCAGTCCTGCTCATCCTGCTTGTCTATTTTCCTTTCCCTTAGCACTACCTTCTAATGTTCTATATCATTTGACTTGTTTGCCATTTATTACTTACTTTCCGTCTCTCCCTACAAGAATATAAGCTTCATGGGGTGGGGGTCTCTGTCTGCTTTGGTCACTGATGTATTCCAAGCACCCAGAGTGCTACCTCACATATGGAAAAGGCTTTTGATAAATATCTGTTGAATGAATGGATGTCTAGACCTTGAGTGTGTTAAGGACAGGGTCTGTGTGTTTCTCAGCAGCTGGGGACTATTAATACCAGCCATGGCTCTCCAGTGGTGCTCCAATCCCTTTTGGATGCTCTACCCTAAAAAAGCTCCCTATTTTTGGGTCAATGGCTTCCACCTGGTCCCTTTGTAGTCTCTGTTGCACATGACAGCCAGAGGGATTCCATGGTCAATCTGACTTGGATCATGCCGTACGCCTTCCAAATCCTTACCAGTGTGCAAGGCCCTAGTGTCACTCCCGTCTGCCTCCACGTCCTTACTCCACCCTGGCCTCACCAGCTCAGGCCCATTGCGCTCTCTTCGCCCAGGGACTTGGACACTGCGCTTCTCTCTATCTGGGTGGCTCTTGCAGGCCTTCCTTCTCTCTCTCCCCCCTCACTCTGTTTTCCATCTCAGCACTTCTGACTACCTGACTTCCTATCACACGCTGTCTTGTTTATGTCTGTCTCTCAGCTAGCATGTGATCTCCACAGGAGCAGTGACTGGAACAGCATCTGGAACAGTGCCTGGCACTTAGTAGGTGCTCAGTAAATCAACATCTATCTCAACATCCCACCCCTTCCCCCCATCACTGTCCCACTGCACAGCTGTCCTACTGTGAACAAGGCATGTTTTCATGTCCTTTCAGCCTTCAAACCAACTCACTGCTTTCATGCAGATTTTACATCCTGGGCATCAGAGAGCTCAGAGATGAGCCATGTTAGAGGCCAGTGGAGCACGGCAGTCAGGCGTGGGCTCTGGGTCAGCTGGCCTGGGCTTGAATCCCGGCCCTACCACTTGTTGGCTGGGAGAGCTTGGGCAAGTCACTGCACCTCCCTGTACCTCCATTTCTTCATGCATGAAGTAGGGCTAATAATAGTAACTACCTGTCCAGGTTGTGAAGGCTAAACGAGTTAGTGCATGTAACGTGCTTAGTTCAGTCCCTGGCACAGGGTTGTTGCCCAATAAGTACTAGTTGTTTCCCAGCCCCTCCCATGGGGGCCTCTTTTCAGGCAGGCATCTCAAGGGAGGGAAGCAAGTCTCTGCCGTTGGGTTACTTCAGCTAACCCACCTCTAGCCAAGGCCTTTGCCCAGCTTCCACCCAACAATGAGCTAATGGTGGACGTGTTAGCATCCTGGGGGGCGATGTCCCCCAGCACAGCCCCTCTTACCCTGTGCAGCCCATTTCTTCTGTAGGCAGGGAGGGAGGCGGATTTGGAGATGAGGGGATCTGAAAAGAAGGAGCCAGAGCAGTTACCAGGAGCCTTAAGCCATGCGTCCCTCTACCCAAGGTCACCAAATGGCTACAAATGGCCCAACCCAGTGGAAAGGGGTGAGAGCCAGAGGACACTCCCTCTTCCTGATGCTCTCCAGATTTTCAACTTGACTGTCTGAGTAGCTCCTCACCCTGGCAGAATTCTAGGCCCACCCAAGGCACCCACTCGCACACTGTCTGGCTCTGGCCTACACACATCTATTTTCCTATGACAGATCTCTGTGTCCTGGCCACAGGGTGGCTCTGGCAAAGGCCCTGGAGTTGGCATCAAGCTCAGCACCCAGATAGGAAGGCGCCCAGGTGGGTGGAAGAGGTGCGTGCTCTTTCTTTCTCCCTGGGACCTGCTGGGCATGGCAATCCTGGTTCTAGAACCCCACGTGGAAGCCCACAACCTGAGAAATACAATGGGTGGACTATTTGAGATCTGGACTGCGCGGGGACATCCATGTTGTGTGGTCATCAGAGCCACGGGGAGCTGCAGCCGACTCAGCTCCGGCCCTCCCAGGACCCGATGGGCGAAGGCAGGCCGGGCAGAACGTACCGCTGTCAGCCAGGTAGTGCGACCGAGGGGCTGCAAGAGAGAAAAGCCGAGACCAGTGCTCATGGGGACAGACAGACGTGGTGGAGACAGTTCACAAGAACAAAGAGACATGGCTTCCACACCCAGCCACCATGGCTGGCCGGAAGTAGGGGCCTCCTTTGGCACCTCGTTTCCCATTGGCCAGTTTCCGATTGTCGCACCTGCACCTCATCTCCCTCCCCCACCTGGCTCCTAGCCCCGCACCTGGGGCAGAACAGGTGCTCTGTGATACTCGCTGGACAGATGCAGTTGAATTTTGAGCGGCACCGGTGCACGGCACAGAGCCCAGAGCCAGGGGCTGAAAACCACGCCCCTCAGCTGTCAGGCAGGGAAACAGGCTGATCAGTTCATCTCGGCTCTGCCACTAGTAAATATCTAACTTCAGACAGTTTACCTAATCATGCTTCAGTTTTCTCACCTGTAAAATGGGGAGTGATAGTGTTTCCTTAATAGGATTATTGTGAAGATTGTGACATAATACAGTAAGACTCAGCATAGTGACCGACACATATAGAATATGCCAAGAACTGGCTTTACCATCACCACCACCGCCATCTTCACTCTCAGCAGGAGTCAAGGTGCGGTGTGGTGAAGAGGGAAACGCTCATGGCCTTGCGGTCGCTCTGACTCGGGTCTGATCCTGGCTAAGTCACCTAGTGGCTTTCTGACTTGGGGCAAGTGGCTTAACCTCAGTTCTCTCGTCTATAAAGTGAGTGATAATAATCCCTCTACATCGCAGGTCTTTGTGAGGACCAGGAGTGATAATGTATCCACAAACGCCTGGCGCACGGAAGTACAATAAATGATACCTTTTATTAGCCATCAAGTATTAATCTGAGATGGGATTTCCTGGCGGGACTGAATCCCACAAGGGTAAGAAAAGGAGGATGCAGAGAGAGCACGTGTGTGTGTTCAGAAACAGAGAGGAGCTTGCAATGAGAGACTTTCAAGGCGAAGTGCTTGAACAAAGCCTCTGCTTGTATACCTCCAAGTGGTGGTAGGCTCACTACCTCAGGAGGCTGTCCCTTATATTGTTGAGCCATGCAGACTATTAGAAGACATTTTTCTTTACACTGAATCTGATTGGAAGTCACAGCTTCAGATGGCCCAAAGGGGTAAGAGAGGCTGCTCAGGGTACAGCATGGTCTTCTGAGGTGGCGCACGCAGCCCCTCACCAAACCCGTATTCTAGACCCAGAGGGGGCGCCAGAAATGGAGGAAAGTGAGAGGCTCTGGGGCTAACTGCCATGGCCAGCCTTTCCTGATTCCCGATTCCTTTGTTAGCCTGCGGGATGGAGTCGGGGCCGGCTGTGTTCCAGCAGAACTTTACTTATACAAACAGCCAGGGGATCTGATCAAGCGAGCTCCAGCACTTGGGCAGTTGCCCAAGGCTGCCGTGCCTTAGTTCCCCATCTGTAACATGTGGGCGTGATAAGGGCTGCCATGAGGAGGAAGAGAGAGGACGCGTGGACTGGCCTCAAGGAGGCCTGGCTCAGAGTGAACAGCTAACAAGTGTCAGGCGGTTGCCAGGAAAGGCCCGGCCCTGCTGGGCTTCCGGAGCAGTGCTTACAGCCATTGAGGGACATCTCGTAGCCAGCTGTGTGCAGGGCCTCCCGGCTGCTGGTGGAACTCCGGGGAGGGGTCCAGGGGTCCGCGTAGGAGCTCGACCGGGCCTTCATCTCCTCCTTCAGAATCAGCCGGCCGATTCCGCTCTGGAGCTGGGGGTGGGGGAAGAGCAAGGTGAAGTTAGAGGGACAAGAAGGGACATCGAGATGGAACAGGCTTGGGAAAGGCTGAGCGACTGGACCCTCTATGGCAAACCTCTGCCTTTCCTGCGCCCCTCCCGCCTCGTGGCACCCACATTTCCCTTTGGGACTTCATCTGCCTTCCACAAGTTGTCCTGTGGTCTGGGGTGGGGCAAAAAGCAGGCCTGGCCAGTGACAGGATCCACTGTCCTGGCCACAGTGATTGGTTCAGTGATGGGCAGACTGCCACCTTTTTTTTTTAATTGAGGGGAAAATCATATAACTGCGAATTAACCATTTGAAAGTAAACAATTCAGGGGCATTTTGTACACCCACAATGTTGTGCAATGACCACCGCTATCTCACTCCAAACATCGCTATTACCCCATAACGATGGGTAGTAAAGGAGACCCTAAAGCTATTAAGCAGTCCCTCCCCATCCCCCAACCCCCAGTAACCACCCATCTCTGCTCTGTCTGTATGGATTTGCCTGTTCTGGATATTTCATATAAATGGGATCATGCAGTTTGTGGGCTTTTGTGCCCAGCCTCTTTCACTCAGCATGTTTCCGACCTTCATCCACGTTGTGGCCACGTCACTTCATTTCCTTTTAGTAATGTTCCAGTGTGTGTTTACACCGCAGTTTGTTTATCTGTTCATGAGCTGATGGACATGTGGGTTGTGTCCACCTTTTGGCTGTTGTGAGTAGTGCTGCTATGAACGTCAGTGTGCATGTATTTGGGTCTCGGTTTTGAGTTCTTTTGGGTATCTACCTAGAAGCGGAATTGCTGGGTCATATGGTAATCTTATGTTTAACTTTTTGTGGAATTGTCAGACGTTTTCCACAGTGGCTGGACCATTTTACATCCCCACCAGCAACATAGGAGGGTTGCTGGCACCCACTCACCACAACAGGAAAAGAGCATGAAGACAAAGCAGAGGGAAGCTCCACAAGAGAAGAGAGAGACACCTTCCTGATGGCATTTTTTTTATTTTGAGCAGTTAGACCCGGTCAACCTGAAGCTAATCCTACCATTTGACTTTTCAGTTATGCAAAGCTATGCATTTCTTTTTCTATCATAGGTGAGTTTGAATTTGGTTTCTGCCACTTGCAAATGAAAAAATCCTCAGTGATGTACCCTCTAAGCATCTTGGTCAGTGGTATGACCTGCTCACCTTGTGCATGCTGCGGTCAAAGTCGTCCTCCTCTCCAGATGAGAACCTTCTGGCTCGGGGAACTGCCAAAGGACAGAGAGGTTCAGCTTCTGCGCCTGTGCTCCCCATTCAGCCCTCTCCGGCTTAAGACATTTGGAGATGGTTTTTCCTTTTCCTTTTTTTTGCAATTGAAATAGTCTCATCTAAGATACCCCCACACCTGTTGGGAGTGGTCTCTCATGCCTTTGCAGCCACTGGACATTTACCATCTCCCGTGGGTACTAATCACGGGCGACTTTGGGTGTAGTTATATTTGTGAATTACTTCCTTTTCCAAATGGAGAATTCTTTGAGGGTAATGAAGGAGTCATCTCTGAGCTTCCATGAAGCTTTGCTCAGAATGAACATTCAATTAGTAACAATGTGTGTTCAATCAAAGTGGATCTTGTTGACAATCCCTCCCTATACTTAAAAGGAACAGCGTCAGTTGCCTGATTGGGTAGGCTGGGGCCCCAAGGATCACTAGGATCCCTTGCCAGGGTGCCTACAAGAGCTTTCCATCTCCCCACATCCTCTTTTTCCATCTTCCAAACCATTTTTCACCCCACAGCCAAACTGGTCTCTCAAAAGCACAAATGTGATCATGTCACTACTTTCAGTGGCGTCCCACTGTGTAGGATAATAACCCAAATCCTTACCTCAACCCACAAAGCCCTGTGGGATCCCCACCCCCACACATGCTTCTCCCCCTCTCTGAGCTCAAGGCTAAGCTGACAGCCTTTCCTTTCCTCCACTGGAACCCGCATCTTGGGTCTTTGCACAGTTTTCTACACTCTCCACTGAATTACCCCCTGTCTCCCTTCCTATGGTGGCTGAGTCGCTGCACCTAAGGTGCTTTTGTCATTTTTCTGGCTGACAGCGTGCCCTGTCCTAATCCCTTCCACCTCTTGTGCATCATCTCCCTCTCATGGCTGGGACCTCTGTCTGTCTCCTCCACAAGGGCTGCGACCTGATCTATTTTGCTTCCCATTATATCCCCAGGGCATGGGTGGCCCTCAGTACATGTCAGTTGCATGACTAAAAATCCTCAGTTATACACCCTCTAAACGCTCTCATTCAGAATGGTCATGTGAAGGGGTGGGTGCTGTCTGTCCCAACCTCCTGTGTCCCTGGCACAGGTGATAGGGCTCTGGTCCCAGGCTCCCATGGGGAGGCTACCTTTGGGGGACCCATGGTAGGTCCAGTACTCAGACTCCGCAGCATAGTAGGGGTCTGGCGAGTAGGCTGGACTGTACTTGGAGGCCTGGCTGATGTCTTCACTTGTTTTGCTCTTGGTTGCTGTAGACAAATCACCTGTAAAGGACCCAAGGAGAATGCTTCAGGAAGGCAGGATGCCTTGGCCGGGACTGTGCACCCTTTCCCTGTCTTTACCAGGCTCCCGCCCAGGTCAGGAGTCTTTAGTAGGAGGGTCTGGGACATGGAGCGCTGGGGCCAATCCTTCATTTTACATTTGGGTATTTAAACTGGAGAGAGGGGAAGGGACTTGCTCGAGACCACACAACAAATTAGTGTCAGAACTCGGCCGGACTCCAGCCCAAGGCTCTTTCCAGTATATTCCAGGGATTCCCAGGTCTGCTCCAGAGTGGACTCTAAGGCTGTGGCTCCTTGGAGTAAGACTGGACAGGTCCCAGGTGAGCCCCAGCCCTCATCTTCCTAACCCTTTACAAGCCTGCCTTGTTATGGATTTGAACCACATCTAGGGTGGGGATGGCCAGGCAGGGCCACGATGTGTGCTGAGTCAGGTCAACCTCCTCATATCCTGAGATGCCACATTTGGTCTGGGGAAGCTACATGGCCCCAAGGATGGAGCACTGGACAGGAAGTCAGCAAAGCTCTGCTTAGCTCTGCCATTTAACTCAGATGTAACACAGGGTAGATCCTGCCCATCTCTGCCTCAGTTTCCCCATCTGTAGGTGTCGGAATTGGTTTGCTGGCTCAGGTGCCATCCAGCTTCAAGTTTCCACCTGAAGTAAGCCCATGACAAGGGTGACCAAAAGACTCATTGCAAACACAAATGCTTTACGAATGACTTATAGTGGCCCAAAGATGAGTGACAGGCTGGTACGGCAGAGAGGGGCTGGGGAAATGAGTGTGGCTCCATGACCATTTCTCAGAATCAGCTATAGGGAAGCTCTAGGGACAAGCTCTACGCTCTGTGGAGCCAGAGCAGCAGAGGGTCATGGGATCAACCTGCAGCCAGCCCCAGGCTATGCACCCTCTCCCAGCAGCACTTGCTTCTAAAGCTTTCTTTCTTTCTTTTCTTTTTTTTTGTTGCCTGGGCTAGAGAACTGTGGCGTCATCGCAGCTCTCTGAAATCTCAAACTCCTGGGCTCTAGTGATCCTCCTGCCTCAGCCTCTCGAGTAGCTGGGACTACAGGCGTGCACCACCACATCCGGCTAATTTTTCTATTTTTAGTAGAGACGGGGTCTCGCTCTTGCTCAGACTGGTCTGGAATTCCTGAGCTCAAGTGATCCGCCTGCCTCAGCCTCCCAGAGTGCTAGGATTGCAGGCGTGAGCCACCACACCCAGCCGAATTCTCCCCTTTGACTTGGGTTCTGGGCAGCCCCTCCTGGCCAATCGCGTTTAGCCTTTCCATCTGCCCTCCTATTCATGCAATCCACCTCCACCCCACACTCTTCTGGAATCTGCTTTGGAGCTACCCCGCAGAGCCCACCTGGGAAATCCCATGAAGTCCTGAGAAGCTTGGGCCCTGGGGGCCTTTTCTGGATATAAAGCGGAACTGCCTTTGTTGGGGTTGGTGCCTTTCTATGGCCACTCAGTGGCCTGTGTGTAATGTGTCCTCCACAGCTATGTGTACATGCTCACAGACTCACCTTAGCCCCCTGCTCAGCCCCCTCTGAAACCGAGGATGTCTGTCTAAATCATAGGGTCTTAAGCACCCAGAGCCACTATTTATACTGTTACTGTCCCCTCCACCAGCTGGTTAGTTCAGATCCTGGTTTGGGGCTGCTTTGCCCCTCTCCAAACTCTGCCAGCTGTGTGTCTCCCTCTGTTATCCACTAGAGCCTTAAGCCAGTGAGGTGCACAGGGATGCAGCTGCTCCTCTGCACCCTAAAGGAAGGGATGTACTTATTCGACTGAGGCTTAATAAGTGCTTTTTGCAAAAATGAACAGGAGGCGTCGGTGACGAGGACTAGGTGGATCTCATACCGAGCACAGGCTGAAATCAGGGACAAAGCTAGTTAGAGTGCAGATTCTTCACACTCAGTATTTCTGATTAAGGGAGTCTGGGGCAGGGCCAGGGCTAGGGACTCTGCCTTTTTAATAAGTCTCTCAGGTGCATGTGGCCCATAGACTATTCTTTGAGAAACACTAAATGAAGGAATGAATGAAAGAATGAAGTGACTCCCTGCTCCTTTTTCATCTGCATCTGCGCTCCACGAACCCATCCACTCTCAGGAGACAGTGACTGGGACCAGCGTGGAGCAGTGGGTCCCAAGCTGGGCTGGGCATCAGATGCACCTAGAGAAACAGTTACAAATACAAAATTCTAATTCAGCAAGTTGGGGGTGGGGCCCAGGAACCTGTGTGCGTCTCACGTGATTCTAATGAACATTTTTGAGTATCAGTGCCTTGGCGTGCGATGCTTCCAGGGGTACATTTTACAACGGTTTCTCTGATCATGGAGTTTAGGACACCAGACAGCAGTGATTAGTAAGGTGGTGGGAAAGGATTTAGGGGACATGAGGCCTTTGCTCTTTTGAAATGACACCAACCTCCTCCCCAGTGTCACCCTGAGAGATGGGGGACAGCCAACAAGAAGGACCAAGATGTGGCCTTGCGTTATGTGGTTCCTGGTGGCCTGGGCAGAGCCATCTGCATAGATGGTTAACATCCCCCCTCTCCTTGTCTGGCCAAGCCCTATCTATCTCTGACCATACCATGCCGTTTGTAGATCGGGGGTTTCCGGTAGATGTTACTGTCTCCAGCTGCCAGACAGACCAAGAAGGGACGGCGGGGTGGGGGGGGGGAAAAAAAAAAAAGGAAAAAAAAAAAAGAAAAAACGAAAAAAGAAGAACTGGGCAAGTGAACCCAACAAAAAAAAAAGGGCAACAAACTTTTCCAAAGGGCCAACAACCTTCCCCCGGGGGAACTCCCCCTCCAAAAGCCAAACTCCAAACCCAACCCAAAAAGGTCCAAAGAAAGGGGGGCGAGAGGAACAGATGGATTCAGATGGTGCCGAGGAGGGGCTTGGGGCTTGAATGGTGGGCGTGCAGGCAGGTGGCACATGCTCAGCAGAACCCATGCAGGAAGGTGTCCACTGCCTCCACCCAGGGTCCTACCTCCAGGTGAAAGTCCCCAGGACGCTGCAGCCAAGTTTCAGCATTATGTCCCTCCCCCTCCCTCAAATACACACAGGAAGGGACCCCTTCAGGGCAGTTGAGAAAGGTGTAGATGAAACAGCAGGACAGAGCTCTTGGGGGGAAAGTGAGTGGGGAGTCAAAAGCTGAGCGCAGAGTTAGGAGACCGGGCCCAGCCTGGCTCTGCCCAACTCAGACCTTGTCTGAACCACACCTGCAAGTCACGTAGCACCTGCCTTCCTCTCGTCTAGCGCCACCTCCAGTCGCACTGACTGTACACCTGCTGCTCCCTCTGCCTGGGATGTCTTTGCCTGGGGTCTTCGCAGATGGCCTCCTTTTCACCTTTCAGCTTTAATGTTCCCTCCAAGAAGCCCTTCCTGACCACACGACCCTAGTCATCTCTCATGGTGCCCTTTTTTATGTATGTTTAGAGAATCTATCATTACCTGAAATGATCCTTTATTATCTCTCTCCCCACGTTAGAACATAAATGCCAGTACTATGAAGGCAGGGTCTGGGCTGGGTTGAGCACAGCTACAAGCTCCGGGCCCACGACAGTGCCTGGTTGTAACAGGGGGGACAAGGGAGGCTTGGAGAAGCCAGGCAACCAGCCCAAGGTCATACACTTATGAGCAGTGGTATTGGGATTCGCCCCAAGAGCTCTGATGCTAAGCTGGTGGCCTTTGCCACTGTGTGTCACTGCTGTGCCCTCAGGGGCTTGAGCATTTGGGGAATTTCACACTAGTTCCCTGTACCTTTTCTTCCCTGGGCTGCTAGCTTGAGGCTTTGATCAAGGCTGGTCCTGTCAAATGGGTGGACTAACACCCCTGGGGGTGTTGGGGCTGGTGTGTGGAATTAGTGTGGGTGACTGGTTAGGGAGGGTCCCCCAGGAACTGGCTTCTCCTTGGTGCCTGTACATCATGGAGCGGGACGCTCAGGCACTGGAGACCCCCTGGAGCATGCACCCATGCCAGGCATTCTGGGCTGGCAGTGCCTACCTGGGATGTGAAAGTGCTTGGGAGCCTGGTAAGAGGTCGGAGTGGAGGACCTCACGTCTAACTGGCTATGGTATGGAGAGCTCCGGCCACTCTCGGGCCCTGGGGCACGCAGGCAGTGGTCCCCAGAGAGAACAGAGGCACAGAGAAAACAGGCATTAACGCGGTGGCAGTTAAGGAAGCGGTGAGGTGATGACAGCAGGGGTGGGGGTGGGCTGGGGCGTTCCCACGTGCTCAGGCTCCGGCCGGAAGAAGCATGTGCTCTCATGCACTGCGTCTGCAGAAACAAGCTTGACCTTGCCTCCTGGCTGGACTCCAAAGCCAGATTTCGCGGGGGTAAGAATCAATTCTACCAAGCTCTGGGAAGGCATCTTCGTCCCTCTAAGCTCCCCAGCAGGGCTCCTTCCCTCCGTCCCAGCCTGCTTCCCTCTCCCCTCGGGGTGACTGTGCAGGGCCCCTTGGGGAAGGCCAGGCCCCAGGAAGCAGGTAGAGGCATCTTCTCCCAGCCAGGGCTGTGGGGCTGCCCGCCACCCCCTCTCCTGGCAGCTCACCACCCACCTTCCCGCCGCTTCTCAGTGCCACATACCCCTTCTCTACCCCTGCCAGGGACACCGCGGGGACTCAGAGAGGCCCAGCCGTTCACCTAGGTGGCCACAGGCCTCAGGAGGGCCACGCTGTGGTGGGGATCCTGGGGAAGCCCTGCACAGGCTCTGCAGCCCAGGGACACCACGTCACTGCATTGTCCCCCGGCTCTTGCTCTCCCTTTGGGGCTTCCCCTTCCTTACCAGAGCGGTAGTAGTGGTGAGGTGAGCGGGAGAAGGTGGGGGACATGCCCTGCCGGCTGTAGGTGGGGGAGTCGATGTACCCCGGGCTGGAGGCCCGTCTCTGCCGGAGGTCCAGGTTCTCGTAGATGTCCTGGGGGAGGAAGTGCACTGTGAGCAAGGCCGTGGTTAGGTGGGCCTGTGGCCCGGGGGGTCTAGCGGGCAGGTGGGGGCGTGACATGGAATCTGGGATTCTAGGGGCTGAGGCAGGAAAACAGAAACTCCCTCCCTGAGCTACACGCACAGCCCGAGAAGTGGCAGAGAGTCTCCCGCACTTTGCCATCACTAGCAGGGCCTTGAACGGCACCCAGGAGTCAGGCCCTGGAATCCTGACTGGGAGCCCCGGGAGCCCGAGGGAGCCCATCTCTGGGTAAAAAGGGCACATCGGGTTCGCCCATCCTTTATGCCACTGCTGCTGCCTGCAGGGCATGCCCCAAGCCCCTCCGTCACTGCCTGGTTGGGAAGCGCACCGTGGCCAAGAGCTCAGGCCCTGTGGGGGCTGGGGAGGGGTGAAGTCTGGGGTCTTCTTGGTCAGCACGAAGGGACACAATTATAATCAACTTAATTCTATTGCAGCTTAGTTACCTGGGAGTAGGGAGATAACGTTCCCAGTGACTGAGGAGCGAAGAGTTTGAAGGCAGTCGTGGAAGGAGCAAAGGAGAGAGAGGGCGAGAGGAACAGGCAGAGTATTGTCAGAAGGCTCGGCAGAGGGAGGGCCCGCCGCCTCCCCTGGGCACGTTCTCCACGATGTCAGAGCTGCTGATAGCAGGTAGGAGACCTTGGGTGTACGCCTCCTTGTACAGATGGAAAAACCAAGGCCCAGGAAGGCAATGTGAAGGCTCAGGGCCACTCAGGGCCTCTTGGGGAGGAAGTGGCAGGTCTCGACTCAGACCCGGGCTTCGCCACGGCTCGCTGAGAGCTATTTCCACCACCCTTCCCCGTCTCTCCACTGGCTCATGACTCCTCTGTGGTTCATGGGGACAATACCGAGGACAGAAACCCAAATGTAGGGCCAGGCAAGGGCTAGGCTGCTGCCATCAACCAGAGAGTTGACCTGTGGGTGGTGCAGCCAGCTGGAGACACAATGTCCTGGCGGAAGGGGGCAGCGGCTGCTCAGAGACTGGGGCGTGCTGGAGTGCCTGCCAGCCTTAACACAGCCTCTGGGTTTAACAACACAAGTCAGAAATGCGGATTCTTATGTGAAGTCTCCCAATGTTTGCATGTAGCCAACTAGTTAATATTTTAAAAAGATACTCTGTGAGTGAAACAAATCAAATCTGGGGCTGGCTGTGGCCTGTGGGTCCTGGTTTGCCATTTCTAACCTCCGGAGAACCAACTTCTACCAAACACGTGATCCCTTGTACCTGCTTCATTTCAGGGGTCAGAGCCCAGATAATCTCAGCACGGGCTCTTCACCCGAACAGCACCCCAGTCCCTTGGAGAGGCAGGGACCTGGCTGAGGTCACAAGGCTGGCTGTGGTGGAGCTGGGACAAGAACCTGTGTCCCTGCCCACCAGGCCAGGGCTCCTTCTGTTCTCAGTCGTCGCAGCTCAGGGGCTGGCATGGGGTTAGAAATGTCCTGGGATACAGACCGCCAGGACCACCAGGACCGCTAGCGTGATGGCTGCTCTGCCTTCTCCAGAGAACACTTTCTCTTGTTCAGCAACCACTTAATGATTTCAAAAGCCATCTCTACTGAGTCTTTATAAAAGTGTCTTTTTCTCTGCACACTGGGGCTTAAGGCCAGGTGCACAAACCAGAGAACGTGCCTGATTAGGGATTATAAACCTAAAGGGCCACTGAGCCTGGCAGCAGGTGAGAGCCATGGGCTGAGTAGAAGAAAAATTTCTGCACTAAAAGGAGAAGTAATAAGTGTTCAGAGGCTCTTAGCCTCACTGCTGGGGCTAACAGGGAGCGGTAGGGACTGAGGAGAATGGGGCGGCCCATGTCCTGTCTACAGGGGGCGCTGCTACCCATCTCCAGGTGGTGGAAATACAGGTTTAATGTTGCCAGCTCTGATTTTTCGAGAAAAGCCAGAAAGCCAGATTTTTGGATGAAATCTCTTGAGTTTAAAATGTTGGCTATAAATTCCCATTTAGAAGAGACTGGGGGCCAGCACTGTGGAGGCCACGCCGTCTGCGATGGACAGGGCTGGGGACCCCGGCAGGACTCTCCTCCTACAGCAGCCCCAGAGCGAAGGGCGAGACGCGATACCTCTCCATAGCCACATCTCTCCAGCATCTCGTCGGACGTGTATCTGGAATGAGGCTCGTAGGAAATGAGGTCGGGGCGTTGTACCTCGTAGATGGACTTAACCTTGGGGAGAGCTGCCAGGTCTTTGTAATTAAGGATCTCATTATCCACTTTAGCCTGGGGAAGAGGGATATGGACAGGAAAGGAGTAGAAAGATAAGAAGGAAAAAGGAAAGGAGGGAGGAAACACAAACAAGGTACAGAAGGATCGAGTTTCTCCAGTTTCCACTAAAAACAATATATCAGGATCGAATCAAAACATCGTAGAAGGTTAGAATAAGAACGGTCTCAGAGGCGGCCCGTTGCAACAGGGCCGACATTTACTGAGCAGTTATCATTTGCGAGGGCCTGCACCTTACGGGAGTTATCTCCTCTAAATGTCATAGCACCTCTGTGAAGAAGTGTCAATATCATTTCCATATTACTTCTAGATGAGGAAACCGAGGCTCAAAAGACTCGGCAACATGCACCGCTTAGCTAGCAGGTGAGAATCCAGCGTGAACTACACAGCCTGGGTGCTGACAGCCTCCCCGCCCCACACAGTGAGGACATCCCAGGTCACAACATCCTTGGAGAAGGACATGAAATGCTGAAGACAACAGTCATCATGTAGAACACCAGCGAACATTTGGTGAGCGCTTATTATACGCCAGGCTCTGTCCCAGCTCCCTCATAGGGATTAACTCCGTTAATCCACGTAACTCACAAGCAGTAATAGGACGATTAGTATAAGCATTAACATTATCCTCGTTTTGAATAAGGAAACACAGGCACAGAGAAATCAATTGACTTGCCCAAGGCCACGTAGCTGATAAGTAGCAAAAACCCGAATTTGAACCCAGAGAGCCTGCCCTCTCCAGTGGTCTCCCCTGCCTTCTCCAGAGGAGTTCACTGGCTGGCACGGTCAGAGGCTGCACTCAGAATACTCCTCACATCGAACCGCAATGAGCCTCTAATTTCCGCTTGACTTGACTTCGCCTAAGTTCAGCCCTCCAGAGCTGCAGGGATTACAAGACAGCTTCCCCTTGCATGTGACAGTCCACATCTCACGGCTCCTGAAGCTATGTCCTTTCCAGGGCTGTGTCTATCAGCTGTTCTCTCTGTGACCTGGTTGCTTTTATGATCAACCAGGATCTGCCTTGCAAGGTCCTGGGGTTGATGTAAATTATGACAGAGGCCACCAGATAGAGCATCCGAGGAGAATGTGTGAGCCTCATAATGTTCTCCCAATGCCATAGGGGCCAGGCGACATCTCGGGGCCAAGACTACTTTAGAGAGAGCAGCATTCATAAAATCCTTATAAGCTTTGCTACTTTAAAAGCTTCCCAAGGACCTGTAACTACTCCATCCCTGCCCCCTCCTACTGCTGTCTGGACACCGTGCTGCCCATTCTCCATTGCCCCTAGACCCCCTGTCCACCCTGCCTTGCCTGGATCTGTGCCCAGAGTGCCCCTGGGCTGCATCTCAGGCTCTCTTGCTCTCTGGCTTTCCATTGGGTTTGGCCAATAGGAGGCAGCAGAGCCTAGAGGATGAGTGGGGAGAGAGGCTGGCACACTTACTCCCCTGGCAACCTTCCTGTCTGGTTGTGGGCCTGACTCCTACCTGGTGACTGTGTGTCCACAGTTCCTGCTCTCACCAGCTTCCATAATGCTGTTTCCTTCCATTGTCTCTTTAGGCCCAGGGTGGTAACAATGTTGTGCTGTTGCAGTCCCTGGATCCCTCACTGTCTCCTGTGGGTCCCCTTAACCCCACCCACACCTCTGTCCATGGTGCCTCCATGACACCCTCCTTAGTTGAACTCTTTGAGGGATGCCGCCTGATTTCTGCCAGAGGCTGCCTGCACCAATTCTGTGGTGTGTGGGTACAGGGAACCTTATTAGGAGAGTCCACTTGCTGAAGGAACTGCTGCCTTTTGTCCTGGGATGTTAGATCTTGACCTTGGCATCTTACAAACTCAACTCCACCCAAAACTATTCATCTTGGCACTTTACTCCAAACCGCAAAGATACTTAATTTATATTTCATCCTATAACCACTTTGTTGATGGGGCTCTAAATGAGCCTCAGGTCTGGGAGGTGCAGTGATTGATCAGAGGCATCCTGAAGTAATTAGCCAGGAAGGAAGGAGGAGAACAACATGGGGCAGGTTGAAGTCAAAGCACCTGAAGATGATTCTAGAAGTCAGTGGGGGATGGAGCAAAGTTTTAAAGTTTGAAAGATTCTGCCAGCTCCAGGTTCACCGATAATTTTAATTTTAGTTTTAATACCAAATCTCAAGTATCTATGAAAAGTATCTTGTTTTTGCATGTCCCCAAAGCAGATGGATCGATTTTTTGCCAAATATGGAAGCAATGTTTGGGGTGGTCTGATTTAAAATGTGGCTCATGTAACACGTGCAATCATTCCCTGGAACAGCAGAGCATGAGGCCCCCTAAAGGGTGAGAAGAAGAGAAGGCGGGAGGGGAGGCGCGTGGCTATGCCAGGACTTGAGGAACAGCTGGTCTCAGCGAATGAACCTTTGGTGGGCAGGCACGGGCACAGGGTCCCCAGGTGCCACTGGGCACTCTCTTCTGCAGGGGAGCTGCTTCTCACAGGGGACTGCAAGGTGGACAACATCAGGGCCTAACTTACTGCACAAAGGTTAAGAAGGCTCTTCAGGAGCCCAGGCCACCAGCCAGTGATTGACGGCATCGTGGTGCAGCCACTTCCGGAGCGCGCGTGTCCCGGTAACTCTCTTCTGGAGACCTGCTCGCATTTGTCAATAGCCTTCTCACAGAGCAGGCCCGGAAACTAAGCCCATTCATCCTGCTGTGGTCTGGCCCATTCACAGTACCAGGGCACTATCCTCTCTCCGGTCTTGGACAGGATTCTTCTATGAGGACGGCCTGTGATCAAAGTAGCCTGTCTTTTGTGACAGCCATGTGGTAGTATTGACCCATGTTGAAGTTGCAGTCAATGATATCGCTTAAATCTTTGTTAATTTGACCAGAGGAAGAAAGGAAAGGAAATAGTCTCATCGATGGGCATTATCCAGGGATCAAAGAGGAAGCTGGATGTGGATTAGTCTAGCGATGACAGTCAGGGCCCACCCAGGACTGGCTGGTTTGGGGACTGCATCTAGAGCTCCTTGTTAGGACTGGGTTTCCTGCTCTAGACCATTGCTTCCAATTGCTGGGCTTCTTGGCCCCTTTGACTTGTGGAAGGCTGGACAGTCCAGAATCAGTCAGATGGAGGTTTGCTGCTCACTTTGGTCCTCCCTGGCTCTGCCTCCCCTGCCTCTTGTAGCTTACTTCTGTTTATCCCTCAGGCTTGAGCTTAAATGTTTCTTCCCCAGAGATGCCTTCTCCCAACTGGTCCTATACTGTTAGGTCCCCCTGTGCGTATGTAGCATCCTCAGAGAATGCTGTGCTTTTTCTTCCTGGCGCTTATAACTGCAACTGACTATTCATGGCATATGTGTTCCATGTCATGAGGATAGGCATCGGGTCTGTGCACTTCACCACCATTTCCCCAGAACAGAGCACACTGCTTAGCACAGAGTAGATACTTGTTATTCGTTTGTTGAACGGAAGAATAAATTACATATACAAGGGACCTCTGAGGTCATGTAACTCAACTCTTGTCCCTTCTGCCACATCCCAGGAAGATGATGAACCCCCTGTGTTTTACACCTCTGGAGATGGGAGCTCACATACAAGCAAGTGGTCTCGTCCATCCCTGGACTTTGCACATGATTAGAAAGCCCTTATTTATCTTTGCAAAGATACGGCCATGTTTCCACATCACATGACTTCCTTCTCCTTTCTGCCTCTTTATCACACCAATACCTCCACATCAATATTCTACCCAACACCTATTCCAAATACCACTCTGATCCCAGTTTTTATCTTGCCATTCTCTCGGTTAAGTAATGGGAAAGGAGACACCTTGTGCTGTTTACAGACTCAGCAAGAGCTCTTGCTGTCACGGCACTTTCTGTCTCGTGCTCTACGGAACTCTATAGCATCTCTGAAACTCCGGGTTTACTAGACTGTGTGCTCTATGAAGACAAGGTCTATGTCCTACCCGTACCCCACTCCCACTGTATCCTCAGGACCTGCAACAGAGCCTAGCACATGACAGGCACACATCAAATATCAGTTGGATAAAAACGTGACAGCTCCTTCATCCTTAGAAACTCTTTAGATACCAGTTTGGGGACACCCTTCCATGGCTGAAAAGTGATACATACGCAGATGACTCGGTTGGGTGACCCAATGCTAGATCCAGGGGGTGAGATGGAAGTTTCAGATGTTCGTCTATGCTGTGGGAGAGACAAAGACAGAGGGGTGAAAATTGCACCCTGGGGTTGGTGGGGAGGGAGAGACAGGGGTATAAGAATGCAGCTCTTCAGGGAACATTAGCAATATTGTCAAAGCATTCTCTGGCTACTTCTGTACTTTCTGTTTATTTTATTTTCACTAATCAATGTCTGAGTGTGAATGAGACCCAAACTGCATAGGACTTCAGGCTGTTGGGCAGAATATGAATTTATTTTCTATATATTTGCAGCTAACATTTTAAATAGGAAGTTACTCGTAAAAATTTTCATCTTGGATTATCACAGTCAATAATGTATTTACTTTAAATAAATAGAATTGGTTAGTACCGGTTCCTTGCTAGTTTGTTTATTCAAAATGTAAAAGTAGGTTAAACTTCATGTCATTGCATACCATGCTGATTCTTTATAGTGTATTCATTGCAAACTGACATACACCGAAGTGACAAACTTAAAAAACCCATCTCTGAACAATGGCAATGATGGATTAAGAGCCCCTTCGCAGAGCAGTGTAACGTCACTCTTACTGCATCTGTGCGAGTGGCAGCATGTTGCAGTTACAAAGTAAGGGACTGGGAATCAAGGACCATGGTTGAAATACGTGGTTTGAGGGATCTTGGCTTCCTTATCTGCAAAACGCAGAAGCGGAGCTTCAGGACTGCCTGATTCCGTCTCAGTTTCTCACCCTACAACGTGGGGCTAGAGAGCCGAGTTGCCCGAAGTAGTGGTGGGTCTGCGAAGATGAATTTAGGTGGAACATTCCATAGCACTGAGTGACACAGTGAGAGCGTAAAATGTAACATTTTATTTCAATCATTCTGATTAGATTGAGGAGTCAGTCTCAATCTGGTGCTAATTCATTCCAACAATTGCTAATTTCCCCTTTTAAACAAACAGAGTGCAGGCAACATTGTCTAGCTGGAATTTTTAAGATTTGTTTATGAGAATCATTACATAGGATTATTTCATTATCATTGAATTTATTTTATGGTTTCCTTTCGTTTATAGAAAGTATTACTGGTTTCCACTTGGTGATATAAAGTTTTATTTTAAAATAAGCTTAGTTAAGTAAAAAGTAGCGAGTTGATTTAAAGAAAGATACTAAGTATATCATGAGACAGGCAGTGCTCGGCCACGGCAACAGCACCGGGGCTGCAGAAGGATGACTGAAGTTGCCACCAAAGAGGAGGAAATTGAAGAAAAGGATGATTAGTTCTTGTATCTTACATGGATGAGGACTTGGAAAAAACAGGGAAAAAAATTCGGGGCTCAAAAATAACGACACATCAACAGACAAAACTTACATTACTTACTCTTTCACAAAACTTACATTAAGTGGACAAGGCCATGAAGGAGACCTGTTTAATCAGCTTGTCACATAAGTTGTGCACTTGTGTGTTCTGGTGGCGGTTCCCTTCCAAGGGACCAACTCGGAAGTTCCAAGGGCCAGGGTGTAAAGGAACCTTGGAGACATCAAGCTCCTCTCCTTGCCCTGTCCACCCTCCGCCCCCGACATGCAACCCAGGATCCCCTATAGCACCAAGGGCCCCTCCCTGCAGTATCAGGACTCTGGGTTCACAGGCTTCCTGCTGCCGGGCACAGTAATTCAGAGGAATGCAAGGACCTCAGCTGGTCCCGTGTGTGCTGGGGACGCTGGACGTGCTTCCACCTGGCTGCATTACTGAGGCAAACCACTCCCCTCTCTAGACTTGGTTTGCTTATAGGCAAAGGCAAAGGGAAAATTCCTCACATATCTGCCTCACAGGGTTAAAGGAATCAAATCAGACAGTGGCTGTCGAGATGCTTCATAAACTGTCAGTTACTATGACAATATTAACTACTATTGTTAATAAATGACCTTAGGTTGGGGAAAGGCCATGGCTTGAGCGCCTCAGAGAGGCCGCCATCTTGATCAGCAATGGTTATAGCCTCGCCCCAGAAACACTTAAAAAATTCATGCAAATACAGTGCTTTACAGTTTTCAAAGTGCTTTCACATCCAATGTCATAATCTCGAAAACCCCACGAAGCAGGTGTTACCACGAACGAAATCCAAGGACACGGGCACACGTTTGGGAGTGTGCACACCAAGGAATGCTGACTCAGCACTAAAGCAAGGCTCCTCCGACCTGTGGCAAAAGGTAGCAATGTCGGAATGCTGGTCTGGGATCACTCCTAGATTGCTTACCTTTAATTTCTTCTCTGCCCGGGCTGCCTGCTTGCAGATGGGGTGCCAAACCTCAGAACCTAAGGAGTCAGGAAAATAACAAAGGCTCGGACCTTTCAAATCTACCAGCATTCAGAGTCTCTCCCCATCCCCCACCCTGATTTACTCCCTGGACAGCACATGTACCCTCCACATTGGCCAGATGGACCCCCTTGGCCTTCCCAGCTCCCTGCTGGCACCTCTCGGCTGGTGCACCAACTTGACCACCCACACCCTTTTCTGCGTTTCCAAATCCTACCCATTCCTCAAGGTCCAGGTCTCACACGACATCCTCTTGCAAACTTTCTCACCTGCCAGCTGGGGGTGACTTCTCTCTCCTCTGTGATCCATGGTTCTTTGTATCTCTCTCCACACATATGGTCTTAAATCACAGTAGCTCATGGAATATCATCCCAACTAAATTAAGAGCTCCTTCTGGGCAGGGACTGAGCTTTATTCACTGCTATGTCTCCCACAGCATCCAGCATGGGACTTTGCTCCCAGCGGAGGTCCGTACATGTTTGTGGGGTGAATAGATGAGTGGATGAGTGGCAGTGAGTGACACGTAGCAGGTGGTCAATGCATATTTGTTAAATGAATGAATGGAGTGGGGGTGAAGGAAAATGATAGCGTGCAGTGAACTGCAGCCTTCCTTTCTCTTCAAAGACTGATGACAGTCTATCAGAGCTACCCCATTAAGGAGAGGAGGTGTCATGGTGTATATTCTGCTTGAGAGCACTGTCTTGACCTGCTAATTCCTCAAAGACTCCAGACTCTTCAAATTCAGGATATGGCTAATGCCCACATTTCATTGTGGGTGGGGGTCCAGTTGGCCAGCCCCAAACACAAAGGCCAATTTGGAAAGGCATGAACAACAGGTGGCTGGTCACATGTTGAGAAGAAGCCCCAAATATTATACATTCCCCAAAGAAGGGACAGGTGTCCTGGATTAGAAGGAAAAATAGGGACATATTATCCCTCTGGAGCCATTCCTCTCGTAACGAGCCCTAAAAGGAAAGGAGCCAGCAAATGGCTGGATTCCTGAGCACCCAGATGGCATTTGTTTGTCTGACTTTGTTTCTAGGATATACTTTCCATTATGGCTTGTTGCCTGGAACCCCTGGGACTGGAATACTAGCTAAGGGACAGGGAGTGGTGTAAATCAAATAATTAGCCCCGAAAGACAGGAGAAAGACTAGGAATAAGTAGCCCCAGGTTCTCGTTTCTGCCTGGCCCCTAACACATCTTCTCTCTGGGTCCCACTTTCTTCACTGAATATCAATGAGATGGGATTTGGATGGTCTTGATTATTTTCATCTCCAAGATTCTAATTCTCGGGCCAGTTCTGTCTCTTGCAGAGTAGGAATCTTTCATTCTTGTCTGCTGATGTTCTTTGATGATCTTCATTATTCAACATGAGTTTAAAATGCAATGACTCCCAGAGCCCAGTAGAGGGATTCTGGGTCTGTGGCTCGATCCAGCAATCACAGGGTGTGTCCACTACCGAGCTGTGGGGCGGGATCCTGGCTTCCGGGAGTTATTAGACAGAGCATTTCCGGTTCCTCTCTGAGTTGCTCCCGAATCTACCAGGAGTTGTTTATGACTGTGGTTGTGGCAGGAAACACATGTTACAGGTCGCTGTAGGAGATGGACAAGATGGACACAGAGTTCTGAGAAGGTCATGCGCTTAAGTGAAAGAGGCAGAGGACAGGTAGAGGGGGCAGTTCTCATGGGGGAATAATGTGTAAAGTGAGGGCGTCAGACTAGGTCGTCTCTCTTGCTTGGACGCTAAGACATTGACATATCTGCTCTGAAATAAAACTGGGCCCCAAATGGCCATTAGCTTCAGCACTCTGCATATAGGAAAGCATGTTTATATAAGAGATGAGGGGAGAGAATCATAAGAGAAAAAGAAAATAGAAATGAAAAAGATCCAAAGTTTGGGAGTTGCCAGTGTACATCTAAATAAAAGAGGCTCAAAAAGGAGTGAGTCGTAGCTAGCAATAAATAGATTTAGATAAAAGAAGGTAAGAAAAGGTGATTTGTTCATGAAGGTCCCCTATGAAAGGTCTGCTGAGCTTATGCCCTTGGCCAATGGCTCAACAATGTGACATTAAAGGAAAGATAACATCAGAATGAAGAAGGTGGTTATTCCCTTCTGTGGACTTTATTCCCAGAGCTGAAAACAGAGCCCATGTGTGTTTAATAAAGAAATACATGAATGATGGGTTAGATCCCACCTCTGATGTTTTTTTTTTTTTTTAAAGATACAAGGTGAAATTCACCCAGAGGAGGATGGTAACCAGAATAGGAAGGGGATTCAAAAGTAGGTGCTAAGGCAGGGTCTTCACCCTGAAGCAGAGAAGACTGAACAAAACAGTGAAAACTGGCTTTGAATATTTAATGACTCTCTGTGGGAAGAGGCATTAATTTGTTTTGCAAGTCTTATACAGCAGAACTAGGACTAAGGGGCAGAAGTTCCAGGGAAGGCAAATTTAACATCTGAGAATTGAATGGCCTCATTCATCTGATAGTGAGCTCCCCATCCCTAGAAGTATTTAAGTGTATATTGGGTGGATAAATGCTCAGCAGGCATATCATGAAGGAGACTTATCACATGGTAGTTACACTAAAGGATATTTACCATCCCTCCTAATCCTTAGAGATTTTGTTTCCATCTTAATAGGCTTTTCTGTACAGAGAAAATAATTATTTGCCCCTATCCAATAATCATGATGAGAATAATCATGATGACAGTCCCGTGAGGAGAGGGATTCATCTATGTCATATTTACAGATGTATCTCTAGGGACTGCAGATTCTCGATAAATACTCATTGAGTGAACAAATACACAAAAGAAACATGATATTCTGTCTTAGGCCAGTTGGATTCTTTAAGCTGGGCTCAGATATTTGGACATGTAATACAATCTAGACTCTGATCAGGCAGCTAAAATTCCAGACGGAGTCTATAAGAATAGTCACTAGATTGGGGTTTGTCAAAGTGTGCCCTATGGGCCACCTGTCTTGCAGCCTGGTAAAATGCAGATTCCTGGGCCTCCCTGCAAAGCCACTGAAGCCAGCTTTCTGGAGGTGGGACCTGGGAATCTGTGATTGATTTAACTAAACTTCCCAGGTGATTTTATGACTTAATTTAAGAACCATAGGGCTAAATAGCAGATAATACTCCAAATTTGTTTCCTTGGAATGTCATGGGATAAAGAAACCAATTTAAAAAAAAAAAACCCTTTTTGTAAGAATGCAACATTTTTTGCTTGTTCTACTCCTGGTTCTACGAGCCACACTCTCTTGTCCCCCCGAGATTGTCATTTACAATTGCAGGTTCTGCAGTTAAAACCTACTGGAAGGTTATGGAAGTGAAGGATTAGCTGTTTCTGTTTTAGTCGACTCAGAGATAGAGATGTGAATCTCCAAAACAATCCCTCAGCCAGGTATTAAGGCCAATTTTAATCCTTAGCCGAGTCAGCAGGCAGTCTTATCTCTCTGGTTATAGCACGCGCCACACCTATAACATTTGGTGCTGCTTTAATGTTTGGGAACCCACCCGCCTCTCTGCTGGATCTTGAAATTCAGTTTGGTAATGCTTTTTGTTTTTTAATGCCAAAGCTAGAGCTGGTGCCATGGTCTTTGAGAATGCCAAGCCAGGGGTTACCACACAGCAGTGACTGAAAGTAGCCCACCCCAGGGTTCTGTTTGGTCAGCGCTGTGATCTTAAACAATTCTGAATCTGAATGTGTTTAGACACTTCAGGTCACCGGTGACTCTCCCTGCTGTCTGACTCCAGGACTTTCTCACTCATTAATGTGGCATTTGAGTTTCTGGCCCCTGGTCCTCGCTAGGGTGTTCTCTTACAGCAGGTTTCTTCATCGGATTTCTCTTGATCAAAACAGGGTGACGCTTTTCCGAATTCTGCCTTTATGACAACACACTACCTTTGTGGCATAGATTGGCTGGAACTTTGGAATTTCTTTTTTAAAATCCTCACCCAGACAAACGTGGAATATTCATAAATGAAATATTATTCAGCCATAAAAAGGAATGACCCACCGACACATGCTATGACATGGAGGAACCTAGAAAACATTATGCTCAGGGAAAGAAGCCAGTCACAAAAGAACACTTATTGTATGGTTCTGCCCATATGAAATATAAAACATTGGTAAATCTGTAAGACAGAACGCAGATTGCTGGTGGCCAGGGGTTAGGGGCAGAGGAGAATGGGGAATGGCTGCTTAATGGGTATGGGGTTTCCTTTTGGTGTGATGAAAACGTTTTAGAACTAGATAGAGGTAGCGGTTGCATAACATTGTGAATGCATTACAAGCTACTGAATTGTACACACTTTAAAATGGTTAATTTTATGTTATATGAATTTTGAGCTCAATAAAAAAAAAAATCCCCACTCCACTCCCTCCAGCAAGAGAACTGTTTCTGTAGACCAAGGGCACTCTGTTCTTTTTTTGTCACTAAGGATACCAAGCTCATCGGGAGAGAGAAGAGTGAGCACTTCTGTTGAATTTGCCACACAAAAACAACGTGATCATTATTGTAATCTTGGGGCTTAGGAAATCTTCACCATGTATCAGGCACTCTCTGCACCATGTAACGTAATGTTCTTAAGAGGTTCAAGTCCCGGTCACATCACTTACTAGCTGCATCGCCTAGAGTACCTTTCTGTGCCTTGGTTTCCCCACCTGTAAAATGGGCATGCAACACTATCTTCCACATGGGTGTGGTTTGAGGATTAATGAGTTAATATGATCCATATATACCACTTAGCACAGTGTCTATCTATGTCAGGAACACTGTGTGTTAGCTATTATTGTTCTTATTAATATTATCTCCTCCCCACCTATGAAAATCACCTGTGTGCCAGGACCTAATTTGGGTAAAGAAGAGACTTGAGGGGAAGGAGACTGGGGACCAGGGTCAGGTGGGAGGGGGGAATGCAGCGAGTGACAAGCTCACTGTGCAAGTGGAGTCACTGAACAGAAGCCTGGCTTGGTTGTCAGCACACCCTCCTGGGCGGCTGGGCTTGTGCCCAGAGATGAGGGCACCTCAGGAGAAGTGGTAAAGACCGGTTTGCCTGGAGCTGACACGATGAAGTGGGCTTGAAGCTTAATAAAGAGGTTGAGGGAGAAAAGTGCTTAGTTACCAGGAGGCTGGTTACCATGGAGGCTATCAGGCAGGATGAGGAGGGGACAATGGCAATGCCGAGGTGCCTAGTAATTCACAGGCAATACTAAGTGCTGATAATAACAATCGGGACAGTTATTAAGATGTATTGAGCACTTAGTATGTGCCAGGCACTAAGTATTCTTATTGCTTTTGTTACAACTAACATTTAGAGAGCGTCTGTGCCACGCCTTATGCTACACACTTTATAACAATACTACTTAAATAAAAAATAATAATGATCACTGATGTTTATTAATATTAACCATAGCCAGCATTTATTAGTGCACTGCAGCATGGGGAATGGCCGTTTCCACACCACTGGCTGTTCGTCGTGAGCTCAGACTGGCAGAGCCAGCAGTGCCAGGCTCTGGGCTACACCTTTACCATGGATTAGCTCATTTGATCCTCACAGCAGCCTTGCGAGCTGGGGCCTAGCCTCATCCCTCTCTTATAGATGGGAAATTGGGGTTTAGGGAACTTGGACATCTTGCCTGCTTGTCCATGTCTGTCTCCCCACCCTGGCCTGGGCACCCACAACAGGTCCTCAGAGTCTCCCCAGGACGTGTCTGCTGAGCCTAGTGGGACATGCCGCCTCTCTGTACTGATGGGGCGGGAGATGGCCAGGCCCTCCTTCCCACCACGTGGAGACCTCCAGTCTGGGGCACAAAAGTGCAAGGCAAACACAGAAAGAGGCAGAGAGAAGAACCACCTGGTGTTGCCCGTGGGCTCCCCACTGAGCTGTGTGCCTCCTCGGTGCCCCTCAGTCCCATGAAGCCACCAATCCCCTTTTGCCTAACGTGGCTTGAGCTGGGTTTCTAGCACCTAAAAAGTCCAGACTAATAAAACATCTCATCGAGCCAGAACCTGAGTATCTGACAAGTTCTCGCCTTGCCCAGCAGGCAATTTTGTTTCTCAGAAAATAAGAGGAAGCAACCAGGGAGTGTGCTGCTCTGGACCTAATTCTGACCAACGTGGACAAATTGGGTGCCGGAGTAGCTATGACATGTGACAGGTGAGAAAATGGCCACATCGGCTTGAGGCTCTGGTGACCTGAGAGGAGAAGCTGGAGACAGACTTTAGAAATACAAACCTTAAGCTACTACACTGTAATACTTTCTATATGACTCAAGATGCCTGGTAACCCTTAAAATCTAAAAAAAAAAAAAAAGGCAGCTCACCAAAAATTAAAATGTACTCTAAAATGAAATATGCTTAGTAGAGTTAGACTTTAGGAAATATCAATTTAGTACAGTAACAGGATATGTTTGAAGAACCTAAAATTAGGTCGCAGGAATGGGGAAACATAAGATTTAAAGTTTTTAAGCATAACTCCTACAACCTAAGCTGTCAGCAGAGAGATCCAATTTAAAGTAATAATGCTAAACTACGAAATTATAGCAACCAATACTACAACGGTGCCTTTTGAAGGGTGGTTTGATGAGATGTGTAGATTATGACTGAGGGCTGACATTCCACGACCCGTAAGGATGGGAGATGTGTCGCTCGAACATCTCTTAGCAAAGTGCACCTTTTCCGAGTTCCTTGTCAGAGGAAAATGTGGCCTTTGCTAAATATCAACCTCCCCAGCTGTGTCAGAAAGACACGCCTCCTGATACCAGGACCTTGTATCCTCTGAACTAAAAAAAAGAAAAAAATGTGATCTGAAATAGACTCGGTTACACAAGAGAAGAGTTCGTTGTAATTATCAAAACAAGCCTTCGAGGCTCCAGGCAGGACTTGCATTAGCGCTGAGCTGAGTAAGGCTCTTCACTTTATTTAGGACCATGGATACCTCCGAAAATCTGATGAAAGCTACAGACCCTCTCCCTAGAGACACACAACTCCATGCAAAATTTGGCAAGCAATTGCAGGAGATTTACAGGATTCAGAAGGCTGAGTATGAACAGTTTAAGAATTCTGGTAATAGACATATAAGAAAACTGGTTAAAGAAACCCTGACGAGACAGGCTAGCTAACCTTGGCTAACATAGCCTCTCTACACTGTCAATCTTCTTCTCTAAAAGGAGGATATTAATGTTTTTTAGCACACAGGGTCATTGTGAGGATACAATGAGATACTGCATTTAAAACTCTTAGTATGGTATTTGGCACACATAGTAAATGCTCAACGAATATCAGCTTATGGCATTTTACTATTATAACTATTTTTATTATTATCATTGTTATTGGTGGGACTTACAATTTGTTTTAACACTTTCCTTGACAGAGCAGGGTTTGCCCAAGATTTTATAAATGATTTCCTGCCATGTGGGTTTTAAATATACAAATGATAACAGAAAACTCTTTAAAAATGTGCCACTCAACTCCTGTGTTTCCAGTGTTACTGTCCCAGGTCTTCAGAACAGGGGGGTAGTTAGTATAGACAGGAGGGGAGAAAAGGGGAGAAAAAGAGTCTACCTTTTCCCTTTTCCTGGGTGCAGGCACATTTAAAACAAGAGCAAGATCTATCTCACGAACCACATTTGGAGTTTAAAAAACCACTGTCCTGGCCTTAGATCTACCTTCTGGGGAAAGCTGGGAAAGGGCCCTCATTCCTCCCCAGGACAACACCTAGGATGTTCAAACATCTAGGGACAGCTAGTCATAGTGACTCGGCCAACAGCGATCACCTGTGGAGTGCACACGGCGCCAGTGTCGGGGCTGAGGGACGTCAGGAGCAGGGGGTCTCCGGCAGGAGGCCAACAACTCCCGCACGAGCTGGAGGGTCCCGGGGCAAACAGGGCTGTGGGAACCCGGGAAGGAGGGCGTGTGTGAAGCTGTAGGTGGGGCTGGGGTTGGGGAAGCTGGGTGTCCAGGAAGCACGCAGTGACTGAACTGGGCCTTGGACGGCAGGATTTCTAAAGGAGGCGCCGCAAGACAAGAAGGGCAGTGAGCTCATTTCAGCGCCGGACACGGACTCGCCCCAAGGCCCGGCCCATCCACCCACTTCCCGGCCTCGTCTGCCCCCTGTCTGCACCCCGGCCACGCAGGCTCCTCTCAGCCTCACACGCCTCGGAGTCTCGCGGACTCTGTCCCCTCAGGCTGGCACATCCCATCCCCTCCCTTTGTCCAGTTGCTGCAGTCTGAATGTTTGTGTGCCCCCAAATCATATGTTGAAATCCTAACCCCCAAGGTGATGGTGTTAGGAGGGGGGGCCTTTTGGGAGGTGATTAGGCCATGGGGTTAGTGCCCTTATGAAAAAGGCCCCAGAGAGCTGCCTCACCCATCCCAACATGCAGGGCACAGAGAGAAGGTGCCACCCATGAGGCACTGGGCCCTCACCAGACACCAAATCTCCTGGCGCCTTGATCGTGTACTTCCCAGCCTCCGGAACTGTGAGAAACAGATTTCTGTTGTTTATAAGCTACCCCATCTATAGCATCTTAGTCTGTCTGGGTTATAGCAGCCTGAATGGACCATACCACCAGTTAACACCACTCATCCTCAGATCTCAGCTCTGGGCCTCTCCCCAGGGAGCCTTTCCTGACACTCCTCTCACCCTGCTAAGCGCTCGCACAGCCCCGTACTTCTCCCCTGCATAAAACTCACCAAGGCTGACACGTATTTGTGTGATTACTGATGGATGCCCATCTCCCCCACTGGACTGCGGGGCTGGGGGTGGCCCTCACCATGCACCCTGGCACAGAGCCTGCCCGCGGTGGGGCTCAGGAAGTAGTTGGTGATTGGATGAATGAATGAGTGAAAGTTGGCTTTGGCAGCTTAAGCGTTGGGTACGTTCAAGGCTAGAAAGGAAGTCTGAGACCTCTGGGAGAAGATCTCAAATGCAAGGCCGAAGTGTTTGTACCTAAACCAGTGGGCAGGGAGGGGCCTTCGAAACCTCTCAGTGGGACCATGCAAGAGCCATGATGCCCCAGGGATGAGGGACTGGGCAGAGGATAGATGACTAAGTGGGATCTGGAGACTAATTAGCAGACTGCTGCAAGAATTCTGGGGCAAGAGGGCTGGACCCTGGGGAAAGAAGCACTGGTTTGCTTTTTGGGAACTATTGGTGCCCCCCTTATTCCTCTGTGCATTCTGCGAATCCCTGGGAAGACTGAGAGCAGCCTGGTGTGATGCTCTGAGACGTGGGGAGAAGGCGATGGCATAGAGGCTGCGGTGGTGTAGACACTCTGCAACCCAGGCCTCCTCTGAGCTTCTCTGACCCCTTGGCCCTGTGTAGCTCGGCCTCTCAGCCCCAGGCAGAGCCAGGGGAGTCTGCTCAGAGCACTGCCAGGGAAGCAGGCCAGCCGAGCAATGGGTGGAGGCGTACAGGGACAGAAGGCAGATTACATGTCACTTCACATTAGCCACACCGGCAACTTTCCCGATCCACCCAGAGAGGGGCAAACTAATTGCAGTTCTGAGGACAAGCCAAAAGCCAAGATAACACGGAAACAGAAGGAGAATGTATCTCCTTTCCAGTCGTGAGTGGATGGTAACACCTTACAGAAGGTTAGATTTGCTTACCTGTGAGATACATTTCCTCCCCTTCAGTGAACATCTGGTGGCAGCGTACACATCTGGCACAAGTTGGGTGGTAATGCTTCCCTCCTGCCTACGGAAATCAAGAGATGAAACAGGAGGTCAGAGCGAGGGCTGTTGACCAGTGGGACAGGTTGGGTTTGAACATTTCCTGGGTACATCAGTGCTGCTGGCATATTTCTGGCCCCGAGGTTGCTTGGAGGCTACCCACGGGAGTCAGAATCACCTAAAATTCCACCCAGGAAGCTTGGCGATTCTTATCGTGGGTCTGTGATGGCAGTTCAGGGGACTTCCCTGGACACCTGCTCTTCTATTCTGGCAGTGGGAAGGGCCCTGAAGAGGCCACTGCTCCCATTTCCTCGTTTCCACATGAGGAAGCAGTCTTGCTTTGTGGACATCCCAGAATTTCCCCAAGCGAGGGGCCCTCACCACTGGTGGTACATGAAATAGTTTTAACTGGTACATGAACTTGGGATTTAATAACACTGAATCAACCAAAAAATAAGATCTCTTCAATCTTCTATCAATTCTGATTTTATCAAAGAGGAAGTACCAGTTTGGTGCAAGTGTGTCTTTAATATCTATCCAAAATGTACTAATCTACCTTTTCAAGAATGAGAACAGGTATGAGGTTGGAACCTCCACAAGCAACAGAAGCTAGCTAGAATTCTATAATTTTCAGGTTCCCTGCAATATAGCAAGTATGTGCTGGTTTTCCTATCATGTTGTGTAAGTTTTCTCATACGTGAGTGAGCCAACCTGAAGACAATTGAAGTATTAGGGAAGGATGATCATACAAGGTTCACGTACATGGCAAACATTGCAAGATTGACACATGAAGGACAGAGTTTTAGGGCTCAGTGGACAATAACGGGACCTATTGCAGAGCCCCTACCCCCAGGCCAGCCCCACCAAGCGTTACCAACGCCCCATCCCCAGCTCACCCCAGTGTGGCTCTGGTGAGTCCCCTTCCCTGTTCCCACTTTCCTTCCCCACCATTATTTGAATTAAAAATGGAGATGACTTGCAGCTGCAAATCCTTCTATAGGGGGAAGACACAGCCTTGGAGAAGGTGGTGCCTCAACATGTCACTGGAAGCCAGTAGCGGTGTTGGAGCTAGACCGTGAGGGCCAGTCACCAGCATAGTACTTGCTCCCATGCTGACAATTCCTACATGAAAATCCCAGCCAAGAGCACTTGGCGTGGAAGGGCCCTTCGTGGCGGTTCCAGAATTTTTATATTGGAGGAGCTTAGTGCAGCGATTGGGTTGGAAGGTGAGGCTTGTTTTGAAGAAACATTTTTGCATGTTGGGGAAGGGTTTTTTGGAGGAGGGATAATACCTGGGGGGAATTGATAGATATTGGGGGGCTGTTAAAGGCCCCCTCTCCAAGCCGCCACTTGGTCTGATGCTAACAGGTTCCTTCCAATTCAAAAATTATAATTGCATAATAGGAAGGCTTGCCTATTCTGGAGATAGTCTCTCTATTCTAAAAACTTAGCAAGAATGTGGAAAAGATAAATTTTTACAAAAGAAAAAACATCTCCAATATCTCTTTTTGTTCCATCCTTCGTTGTTTACATGGCTCCCACCAATGAGAAAATGTCCCTGTTGTCCTCAAAGCAAATATGTTCAAACTTTGGAAAGAGCCTGCTATTTTCCCAAGCTACAATGTCGTGGGACTGATTCTCTCGCACCATGACAAGGACAATAGGTTTAATTAGTAGCCTCTTCCTACTCTGTGTCTCTTTATCATTTCAATTATAGACCTGTTTTCCAGGCTGGCAGTAACTCCTTGGCAAAACTGAAACTTAGCATCTTCCTAAATGTCATGTCCCACCACTCTGCCCCAGCTGGAAGAGGCTTCGTGCCCACTGTAGCACCCCCCGGCCCTGGATGGTGTTGAAAACAGCTGGAGGAAAGGGAGGCTCTTAGGGCAGCCTGCACCCAGTGTAAGGGACAAACAAGTCAGCGAGATGAGATGAACCATTTCGTCTGTTAACAAACCAAAGTCAAGAAAATAGTGAAGGAAAATGGCAGAGTTGTACCCCCCAAATGGAGCCCTGCTGGAGAGGACTGGGAATGGCAAACAGGGGTGGGAAATGCAGCACCCAGGAAACCAGGTTTGTGGTCCTCTCTGGTGAGGTCACAGACAAGAGAGGAAGGAGTGTGACTGACAGCTAGTTGAGCTCTGTCCTGAGGAAGGGATCATGGGGTGGCCTGGGGAGGGAAAGGAAAGGGTTAGGAGGAGAAGAGAAGGAGAAACAGTTTAATTAAATGCCTGTGGTGTACCAGGCGGTGCCTGAGCTCTGCAGTGGGTGGCTGTCCTTCCTGCCTGGCCAGTATCCTTTCCTCCTTCTTCCAGAAACAGCACCAACATTTCCTCAGTGGGACTACCTATCCTTCGCATCAGTCCCTAGGGTTCAGTAGTGCTGACCCCACCAATAAGCAGATTCCAACTCTATGGGACAGCTCTCAGTCCAGGGATGGGCCTGAGATCATCCACTGAGTGTCAGTCCCAGGATGTTTGCTGAGCTATTAGAAAACGGACACTCTCTTTCCACTGGGGATGCTGGCTGATAGGATCTAAGCCTGGAGCAACTGGTGTCCAGCTTCCCCATCACAAAGAACAGCCTTCTTGAGAATAAAGCCAGCACAGAAGAAAGTGGAGCCAAGATGGCCAGAGATTCCAAACGAGTTTGTCTAAGCACTGGATCCAGCTATGTCTGAAGCCAGAATGACTCCTGGGCTTTTTATTATAGGTGCTGATAAATTTCCTTTTCAGTCTGAATCATCCGAGTGTAGCTTCTGTACCTGCAACCAAAAAAGTCTTGACTGACATTTCCACTAGGAAAACAGGGCAGTGGTCTTCTCTATTGAGAGGTATAGACTAAGACTCAAGGAAGTAACTTGCTTAAGGTTTCATGGCTAGACGTGGTAAAATCTGAATCCAAGTCTGTTTCATGGCGACCGTGTCTTTTCCCTGACATCATGCCACCTCGGAGACCCCTGAGTGGCTGAGAGCTGTGGCCATCACTGTGGGAGGAGCTCTGTCTCTACCAGGAATCCTGCCTGTGACCTTGGAAAAACACCGCATGTCTGGGGTCTCACTTTTCTCATCTGTAAAATGAGGAGGATGAATTAGTTGGTTGCTAAAAGTCTCGTCTAGCTCTAAGAAAAAAAAAAAAAATCAATCAGTCCAAGATGCTAATGGAGCCTCACACAGGTAGAATCAATCGAAACCCAGTCACAGCAGCTGCCCAGGAGGAAGAGACCATCACAGTGTCAAACAACAGTCACACGCGGGGAGAAGGCAGCCACCACCGACAGGATTTCAAAGCAGCTTGGAAATGCTCGAACAAATTCCCATCTGCGGCTCTGTGTGTAATCGAAGTTCTTTCCTTCTTGAAAGAAAAGTCTACTGTTGTGATCTCCTGGCTCACTGACCCTTCACCCGCTGCACGCGGGGTTGCCTCTTCCCCACGGTTCTGCAAGCCCGGCGAACGTGTCTTCTGAAGGTGACCCTTCCCACACCCGGCAGCTTGTTCTCCGCCCGTGCAGCCCTCGCCTGCTCTCAGAGTGTGACCCACACTCCAGCTGACCTCGCCATGCTTTCTGAAGCTTTGCCTGTCGATGACCACTCCCCACCTTGTCCTCCCGCACCTTCCTCTGATAAGTCCTGGGTCTCTTTCCCCTGCGAGTAGCTGCTGCCCAAGGTTGGTTCAGCCCCCTTTCTCTCTCTCTTTCTCCCTGCCTTGGAAATCCCGAGGGTTCCTGTGGTGCTTCGATTCAAATCCTAGTGTTTCTAAGATTGACCCTCCAGGCCCGAGCTTTGTTCCTGAGCTCTGATCCACATTTACAACTGCCTTCTTGAAGCCTTCTTGGGATTTCAACCACAACTCGTCCCAAATAACACTTGTCATGTTTCTGCCAGCTCAGCTTCTTTCCCCGCCACCCCCAGTTCTGCAGATGACAACACCAGGCTTCCTGTCACCCAGGCTTGATACTTTGGCATGACTTCTGGCTGCTTCTCCTTCAATCCCACGTCTACAAGTTGTCTCACAGCTGCAGAGCAGCTGGAATTCTACAAGGGTGGCCGCCCTGCCACTGCTACTGGACCTCATGAGTCCTTCCTGCCTGGGCGGTGCAGTGGCCTCCTCTGCTGTCTCCCCTTCCAGCTTCCTTCCTTCAGGATTAGCCTGTGCTCTTCATTGTGTTCTCTTCCAGGGGTGCAGCTCTAATCAGGTCACTCCTGCCCAGTCTTTCCACGTGCCCACTGTCCAGTGAACCACATGCAAGCTCCTCACCCTGCCATGCCAGGACCTCAGAAACCTGGGCCAACAGCCCTTCCGGTGCTCAGGCCTTGCCCCTTGCATTGTGCCCCTCGCTGCTCCCTGCGCAGGCTCGATAGTTCCCCAGCTCAGTGCATTTGTTTATTCCTTCTGACTCCCTACAGACCATTCTCCACAGACCAACCAGAGAAATCTTTTTAAAACAAATCTTATCATGTTGCTCCCTGGTTTAAAACTCTTTCCATTGCACTTAGTATAAAACTCTCCAGCGGCTTCCCATTGCATTTCATATAGAACCTAAACTCCTAAGCATGGTCTACAAGTCCTATATGAATGCCCTATATGATATACTGCATCCTCCCCCATCCTCAGTTTACAGAATTCAGTTGCATTGGCCTTTTCCTCTGTTCCCTGAACGAGTCAAGCTCATTCTTCCTCTAGCTCTTCCCACCTCAGGGCTCCTCAGGGCTGGCCTCCTTCTTCTCAGGGATCTGCTTCGCCTGTCTCCTGAGAGAGTCCTTCCCTGGTTGCTACATTCTCTCCTGCTGAGCCCACACGTGGCTGCAGAATCTGTCCTGACACAGCACTCATGGTATCCACAATCAACTGGCCGGATTTGGCAGAATTAACGATTCTGTTTGCAATAGCTGATCCACTCTGCCATCCTCCAGCTATTGCCTGATGGAAAAACTGAGGCCTAAAGGGGCAATGATACTCACCCCAAAGTGAGCAGAGTTAGCAAATGGAGTCAATTTTAGAACCCAATTATTCCTACTGTTAGGCTATTATTTTTTCCTTTGCACCAAATGCTTTCCTAATTCCTCAAGGCGGGTGGTCCCAAAGTATAGGAAGACAGCTTCAGGCCTACAGGGTATGGGAAGTAAGGCCAGAGGACAGGGGGCTCAGGCGGGAGCTCAGCAAGGGTGCTGCAGGTTGTCTGCCACTGGCAGAGCGAGCTGTGCATCGGAGGCTGGGGAGAGTTGTTGCCATGGTGACAGACCAGCCAAAGGAGGGCTTGGGGAGCAAGCTGCTAGACAAGCTGGTTCTTAAATCAGCACATTACCAAATACCTAAAAAATAAAAAAAAAAGGCTTCCATCCTCCGGCAGGGCTGGGAGGAAAATAATTGTCACTCACGAGAAATCTGTGTGGGTCCGAATCCAAAGGTGCAACTGATTTTCCCGGCACAGCATTTTTTGAACTGGGAATAATTTTGTCCACTTTCTCATATTGGGGATGCCCAGAGATCTCAGCAAGGTTATCTGCTCAAGGTCATGGGAGCAAGCAAAGCTGGTCGAGGCTATGGAAGATTGAAGCTATGGAAGAAGGGATGTGGAGTGACTTTTTCCTTCCTCAGTGGTGACTTTTTGGAGTCACAGGTCACTCTGCTCAAACGTCTTCATGGTTACTTGTACCCACTCACCTCCAAGACCCTGCCGCTGATGTATCGGTCACAAGTCTCACATTTAATGCCAAACTGGGAGTGGTAGTCGGACTCGCAGTACGGAACGCCATCCCTGTAAGAGGATATTCACACAGGACAAGGAAGTTAGGGGGGATCAGCGTGGGTGTCACAGGACAGTTAGTTCCAGGACCTGCAGCCTACGGGCACTGGGCCAAGATTAGAGGGTCCTCCTTTAATCACAAATTTCACCTGTAGTGAAAGAACCATCTGACTGTGCTCCCAGCTCAGTAGATAACAGGAAGCCTCCCCCCAGCACCTCCTGTGTGCTCCGTTTTTACCCAATGCTTATAACTTAGCAGACAGTGATAAGATTGTTGTTAATTATTCTTATACTACGCCCTACTACTAATAGCCACTGACGCTTATTGCTTGGTGCGTGCCAGGCCCTCTGATGATGTTTTACATAGATTATTTCATTTAATCCTTACGGCAGCCCTAGGAGGGCAGAACTATTAGTATCCCCACAGTGTAGATGAGAAAACCCAAGCACCAGGTGTGGTGGGCAACGTGGGCTGGGCCTCCTTGAAAGGAGCTCTAAGGAAGCCCTAAGTTGCCCGGAGAATTCTGACTTAGGCTCCCAGACTCAAGGACTCCCGGCTGGTGACTTACTAAGGGCACTCCTTACTTGGCAGGCACAGCGGGGAATGCCCAGCTCCTACTGACATGGCATTCAGAGCTCTCGGTGATCTGAACTCAGCTCACCTCTGCAGCCTGGGACCTTGCTTCACCTGTGCACACATGTGAGCTCCCAAACAGGATGGAGGGTCTAGCATTTGCCCACCTCCCTGCCCTTGGCCAGGCCAGGCATTCTCTCCTTCTCTGCCTTTTCGAATCTTACCCCCTTTTTCAAGGTCCACTCAAACATGACCACCTTCCATGAAGCTGTCACAGATTCCAGGGTCCACTTCCTGCCAGTTAGGAGTGATCCCTCCTTTCTCTGAATATTCACAGCCCTTCGCTGTGCCTCCGACAAAGGCAAGTGCTGTCTGGCCAGCATCCACATCCCCTCTGCAGGAGGCGGTACCGGCCCTGGATTTTCATTTGGAAGCCACCCTTTCCACGCGAGCTCACTGCGGGCTGCTCTCTGGCTCCCCAGGAGGGTTCAGGTCCTCCTGGCCAGTGATTGGTCAGGAAAGGGCATGTGACCCAAGAGTGGCCAGATCAAAGGCAGCCTGGGGAGTTTTTCTGGAGTTCTTTGGAAAGAGGCCTCTCTCCCTGCTAGGCCGGCTAAGCTGAAGGAGCAAAAGCCTGGGGTTGCTGGTGATTCTGTTTGCTGCTATTTGGGGAGGGCCTGCTTCAGAATGAATCCAACACAGAGGAAAGCACAGGTAAGACAGAGGGAAAGAGAGACAGAGACTTCTGAAGTACTGAGAACATCTTTAAGCCCCTGGATTCAGCCATGCCTGAAGTCCGTATGCCTCTGGCCTTCCCATTTCTATGAGTCAATAAACTCTCATGTTTTATTTGAGTTGCAGTTGGGTTTTCTGTCACTTATGATTAAGAAGGCCTTGAAGAACAAAGCTTGTCTGAGCTCCCGTGCACATCTGCCCTGGTGTGGTGTTCTTCCCGTACGCAGCACAGCTGTCTCCCTCGGCAGACTGAGGGTCTTGACAGCAGAAGTCGCGTGAGCTGCAGCTTTGCACGCTTACCACCTCCCGGCATCGGGCCACAGAATGGTGCCCAGAAGTGTCTGGGATCAGAAAGTGCCAAAGCTGTGACAAAGAGTCTGTGCCTATAACTGCTTTCAGGTTCTTGAGTATATAAATGTGGTTACTGGGCCCAGCAGCAAGAGGACACTTGTCTAATGCTACAGTGTATGGGTCACTGGGGGTCGGTCCCTCTCTCTGGTTAACTATATGTGCCCATCATCTCCTGTCATTTGAGTTAAAGTCACCCGACAGCTGTATTATTGACTAAGGGTCAGGCATTGTGCTCAGGGCAGGGGATACAGAAGTGACTAAGACAAAGCCCCTATCCTGGCGGGGACAGACATTAAACACTGTCACTGGAGCAAGTTACTTACTCCCAAGTCTCAGTATCTGTGGGGATAAACCCCTCAAGGGGGCAGTGATGGGGCTTACGGTGACAGCCCGCACGGAGCAGTCGGTGAGCTCCTGGGACGTAATAAGAGCTCAATAAATGGTAGCTGGTATTATTATCATGATTACAAAGGTAACGGGGACAAACACGTAATTACAAACAATGCTAGCCCATAGGAAGGAAACAAACAGGGAACTCTGAGAGCTGGTAAGGGGGCTGGAGATGGTGACAGAGGGTGGGTGCGAGGCCACCTTTGAGGAGAGGCAAGGGCACGGAGAGCAGAAGGCACGGAAGGATGGTGCAGGAGGAACAGGGAGGAAACGCCAGAGAGCCCAGTGGGGGAAGAGGCTGCAGGGAATGCCGTTGTGGCCAGAGTAGCCGATGGAAATGAGGGAGATGAGGCTGAGATTCAGGCAAGGGCCAGAAGGGGCAGAGGCCCAGGCAGCGGGGCGAGAGGCGGGGAGACTCACTTGCTGATGTACTCCCCGGTCAGGATGACGCTGCAGGTTTGGCATTTGAAGCAGCTGACATGCCACTGCTTGTCCAGCGCCAGGAGCGACTGGCCATGCTTGATCTCCTCCTTGCACCCAGCGCAGTCTGCAGAGATAAGAGGACACCGCTCTGACCCTGGTGAAGTCGAGGAAACCCCTCGCTGAAGGCCAGTGTTCCCACAGCTGCCCCCACCCTGGCACCAGCAGCTGCCCAGGGACTCTTCCAGGTGAGAGCAAAGGCTGCTGGAGCCCCGGCCTCTTGACAAGGGGTCTTGGTGTGGGGGAGAAGGAAAGACTTCCCTGCTTGTCATCCAGACCACGCTGTTCATCCAGAGGGGACCCTGCCCTTCTTCTGGCCCTCCCCAAGTTGCTACCTGAGCTCTGCTGCTCCCTGTGACCTTGGCACCTGCAGCATCAGCATATCCCGGGAGCTCGCAGCGTGCAGCATCTAGGTTCCCGCCAGACCTACCGAATTTAACAAGATCTCTGTGCACAGTAGAGTTTAAGAAGCACTCCTTCTGGGGACAGGCTAAGTACACATTTTTTTTTCACCCTCAGGCTGTATACTCAATGGCAAGGGTCGTGTCTGTATGTTGTGGTGAAATCTATGCCCTTGTCTAGCACAGTGCTTGGCACATAGCAGGAAGTCAAAGCGCATCTGCTGAGTGAGTATGGATTTACTATGCCCTCCCTGTCCCCAGTGTGCTTATATGCTAAACATTTCCCTTCCCAGGCAGCAGGGATTAAAGAGTCTGATGAGACTGTCTCAAACCAGGAAGGTGCCCTCACTCCCCGTCACCGTCGCCCTGGAACGTGTACCGGGGCCGCCCGAATGTGGGCTGAGCCGGCATTCTGCCTGTTGCTCAACGAATGCCTGGGGCGGGGCAGGAAACGGAGCAGCGTCCAAGGTACTTGCGAGATGCTGGGAATTCAGGACTAGCCGACCGGATGGCCCACTTTGGAGGAGGAAAGGGTCATGGGGCAAAGTTTACCAGAGGACAAACCTCCCTGTTGGCACCACGAGGCAAATGCACGCTTTGGAGTAGTGAGGGGAAAAGAAACGGCACACAAGTTGGGGGGTCCTGGCTGCACGGCACCCCCATCCATCTGGGAGCCAGCCCCGGCAGAGAAGATGATGTGTCTGCATATCTAGGAAGGGTGGCGTGTCCAGGCTGTGGGGAGGGCCTGGGTCCCTGATGAAGTGTTTGTACAAGTCAGTTCCCACACGACCCCGCCTCCTGGCTGTTGAGCTCGATTCTAACGTCCCTCGGTACAAGCTGGGGGCAGGAAGGTCTCCAACTGCAAAATGCTGCAAGACTCAGGCCTTCGTATGGGGGCCTAGAGAATAAAGGGCTTTGGTATTTAACTCTTTCCCCTTCTTTTCTCAGGGCATAAGTCGATAAGTGTCCCTGCAGCCCCTCCCCCGTCATTACAGGGTTCAGAATGCGATAGTTTAGAGAGGTCAGGTACCCCTTCGCTTTTATAGCCAGACAGCCGTCCGAAGTGTCTCGCCCAAGCTCAGTGTAGAGGAACCTGGGGGATGCAGGTGTCTCGCCAAGCTTTGTAGGACACAAATACAGAACCCGTGTCCCTGTGGGCCTCTGTGACAGGGCTCAATAATTCTGTAGGAGTTCAGAGTTCACAGCATTTGGCCAAATGTCCCGCCCAGTACAGGAATTTACAGCATTCTTGACAGATGGGCACCCATCCCGTTTAAAGGCCTGCAGGGGTGGGTGGCGCACCCTCTCTCAAGGAAGTCCGCTCTGCCTTTGGACAGGTGTGACTGTCATGACTGTCTTCTTTACATGGAGCTGAGACCTGACTCCTGTGACTGCCGTTACTCTTATGCACCGAGAACAATCCACTTCTTTCCCCATAAACAGTTCCTTCAAATAATTAAGACAACCATAGTTTCTTTCTTCTCCTTCATACCTTACGCTTGACTTTTCCTTGCTTGATATGGTCATGCACTGACCAAATTCGCTTGTGGATCCCACGGAGGTGGACAACAATTCTCCACCTCTTCAATAAAACTTATTTAATAGCTGTACCCTTTCATGGCCACATTCTGGTAATGAGTCCTATCTTTCTAAGTTTTGGTGATACATTGAGATGAATTTAGAGATCTTGAGTTAATATGTAGGAGATAGTACAGTGTGGTGGTTAGAGGCTGGACTGAGAGGTTGGAATGAGTAGTGAGAAGCTGGCCGAGGGGAGAACCCCAGCTTCTCTGCTTGTGAGTTGTAGACCTTTAAGCCCCAGCTTCCTTATCTGAGTATCTTCCTTACAACACTGGCATAAGATCAATTAAAATCAGGCCTGTAAGGCCTCAGCACAATGCTTGGCACCTATGTACCCAATAAATGACTGTCGTCATTGTTATTTCCCATTCTTGTGTTTGTAACCCATTCGCTGTGCATTGCCCCATCTCTGATTGAAGGCAGGGGCAGTATTCCTGTTGTGGGGAAGCCCTGCAGACTCCTCCTGAGACTTCTAAGGTGTCTTCTCCAGCTGGTTTTTCTTGTCATGTTATACTGCTGGTCCTCCATTGCACCGGCTTCGTATTTATCGAGACCTTTTCTTCCCTCTTCTTCTTCCTTTCACTCTTGACCACAGTTGGAGGCTCAGGTGCCCCATCTGGGAGCCCGTGGGTCTAGTGTAATAATCAGGGTCAGGAAAGCCACACCCTGTCCCGAGTTGGTCTCTGCAGAGGCAGCTGTCCACTCCTCTTATGTTCCTCTCTATTCCAAAATTACAGTCTTCAGCTGGCAGAAAGTATGATGCCACCACCTGTTCCTCCCAAATCCTTTAGTTTATTACTGAGCTCTCTAAAGACCTCAGCCATTTTTAGTCTTCCTTGACTAGGTCATTTATTCCACTTAGATCAGCAAAAATGAGTGGGTTTTGTCATATCAAGCTCTCCACCTTGTTTTAGCCAACTAATCCAGGAAGACAGGGCCCTTCCCAATTAGCAAATCATGTCTCTGGTGTAGGGCATTAAGAGAGCAGGCTCAGAGCCAGGCTGCCTGGTCTCACTTTCTAGTTCTATTAATTATCATCATGTGTCTTTGGGCAAGTCGTTTATGCTCTTCGAGTTTCAGTTTTCTCATTTCTGAAAGAGTGACTCTTATCTCCCTCACAGAGTTGTTGTAATGATTAAATGATATGTTATGTAAAGAACACTAGTGCAGTGCCTGAAAATAGTAATAATCAATGTTAGCAGTGGTGGTGATGGTGGTGGTGGTGGTGGTGGTGGTGGTGATGGTGGTGGTGGTGATGGTGGTGATGGTGGTGGTGGTGATGGTGGTGATGGTGGTAGTGGTGGTG